AAATCATTTCTACAATTGTTCTTTTAGCAAAAAAAACAAAAACAGTTTTAACGTGAAGTAAATCAATGTTTAGTAAAGATCAATTTGGAACCTAAAAAAAGCTGATTATAGTGTTTGGTAAAATAATGCTGAATTGTTGTGATTTATCCCAATACTAAAATTGATATAATTTTAAATTTTGCTTATATTTTTTTAGAAAAATTCTTCAAAATTTTATCTGCATTCAATTTATGTTTAAATTTTGTTGACTCTGAATTGTTTGTTAAAATATTAGATAGAATAATAACCATAATGAAGTGCGTTAAGATAAATTTTATTGTAGTTGGATTATGCTAATATTAATTGGTGAGAAAGTAGGGTTTTAGAAATAAGATTAACAGGAGAAAACCTAGAAGACGGTATATAAGAGGTCAATCTTATTTTTTTTAAGAACAAAATTAGAATGTTCAAATTGGTTTGGAAGAGATGTTTGATTCGCTGGAAATCCATTTATAAAATGACGGTGAATAGATTTAGCAAGGGAACGTGTCTGGCTTGTGGCTAGTATCTCTGGATAACTTTTCTTTTGTTAGGCTTTTATTTCTCTTGATGGAAAAAACAAGTTAATTATTCCCATTTTATGTTATCAGGTATGATATGTGGAGCGTTGGTGTAGTGATGCTAGAATTGATCTTAGGATCACCTAATGTTTTTCAGGTAGGTGATTTAACCCGAGTTCTTTTGGACCAGCATCTTGAGGGTTGGAATGAAGGCTTAAAGCAGCTAGCATACAAGTAAGTTCATTCTAGACGAAGTTCAGTGATCTTGTTGTCAGTTGTTATAGTTTTTATTTTATAAATTAGCTGCGGATATGGTTTATTTCACCAATAATGATGTTTTCCTAGTGTTCTTTTCTGAGGTGGCCTACTTTTAAAATTCTGAAGCTTCAAATAGGACCATTATGCAGTCTCAAAATTTCTCTTCATACAAACAGCAGATATCTGATTTCCCAGAACTGCATCACCAGAATTAGACGTTTGTTTGTAGGATCAAAAGTTTTGACGTGCATAATGAAAACTGGGACTTGGTTTTTTTAAAGCCAGATCTTCCAAGTTGGTTTATCGTATGTGATCCCAAGGTTTTGAAAAAGTTAGATTTAGTCCTTATGCTTTAAAATTTGAAAATTAGTCCATACGGTTGGATAAAATCCTCATAAACCATCCTTATGGTAGGGACTATTTAGAAGAGTCTATCAAGTCATACGGACTATTTATTAGGTTTTATCAAACCGTTAGGACGATTTATAACTTTTGAAATCATGAGAAATAAATATAAACTTTTTTCAAACTATGGACACCAAATTTGTAATTTAACGTAGAAACAATTTTTTTTTTCCACATTTTCTTAGTTAAGTTACTTGTTATTCCTTGTAACTTCAAATTTGTGTCTAATAGGTCGAACCTTTAATTTTATGTTTTACAGGTTCCTGACAATAGATCTCTTGACTATTAATTTCAATTTTAATTTTAATAGATTCTTGAACTTTCAATTTTATGCGAGATAAATTTGACATGTTTTAAAACTCACGGATTTTTGTATAGTCAGAGATGAATTATAAGATAAATTTGAAAGTTCAAAGATCTATTAAATATTTTAAAGTTGAGAGACCTATTTAGACATAAGATTGAAAGTTTAGGGACCTATTTAATACATTTAAAAGTTTAGACCTATTAGAACAAAATTATTAAAGCTTAGAGATCTATTTGACACTCGAGACACTCGAGTGTATAGACTTATTAGACAAAAATATGAATGTTTAAGGATTAAACTTATAATTTAAAATGACTCGAGTGTATAGACTTATTAGACAAAAATATGAATGTTTAAGGATTAAACTTATAATTTAAAATGTCTTTTGCATTTATGTGCATCTTTCCTCTTTAGTTTTATTGCTTGCAACGATCACTTTATTGATGAAATATTAAAAGAAAAAAATTGTCACAAGTCTAAATTAGGTTTTTGCTTTTTTTTTTTTACTCAATTTTCAGAGAATTACATGTCTAGAGAAAGGTTTAACTAAATGGATAATCTAAATAAATTCCTAGAGATTAGGTAAATCTAAATAATAATGTCTAGATACTAGTAACTAAATAACTAAATCTAAATAATGGGATTACACAAATATCTTTCTACAAAAGTTAGTGTAACCTATGAACTTAATCTTTTTAACTTCGTTAGTGGTAATTTAACATGGTATTAGAGTAGGAGGGTGATAAATCTTTTGTAATACTCCCTTTTTTGTCATTCTCGTTATCCAAGATTGGAGGCCTTTCTTGAATACTCCTTCCCCTTAGGCCCTTTTAACTTTTCCGGAGGGAACACCATGATAATCATATTGTCGGGTTAGATAGACCTATTAGAACAAAATTATTAAAGCTTAGAGATCTATTTGACACTCGAGACACTCGAGTGTATAGACTTATTAGACAAAAATATGAATGTTTAAGGATTAAACTTATAATTTAAAATGCCTTTTGCATTTATGTGCATCTTTCCTCTTTAGTTTTATTGCTTGCAACGATCACTTTATTGATGAAATATTAAAAGAAAAAAATTGTCACAAGTCTAAATTAGGTTGCTGCTTTTTTTTTTTTTTACTCAATTTTGAGAGAATTACATGTCTAGAGAAAGGTTTAACTAAATGGATAATCTAAATAAATTCCTAGAGATTAGGTAAATCTAAATAATAATGTCTAGATACTAGTAACTAAATAACTAAATCTAAATAATGGGATTACACAAATATCTTTCTACAAAAGTTAGTGTAACCTATGAACTTAATCTTTTTAACTTCGTTAGTGGTAATTTAACATGGTATTAGAGTAGGAGGGTGATAAATCTTTTGTAATACTCCCTTTTTTGTCATTCTCGTTATCCAAGATTGGAGGCCTTTCTTGAATACTCCTTCCCCTTAGGCCCTTTTAACTTTTCCGGAGGGAACACCATGATAATCATATTGTCGGGTTAGATAGACCTATTAGAACAAAATTATTAAAGCTTAGAGATCTATTTGACACTCGAGACACTCGAGTGTATAGACTTATTAGACAAAAATATGAATGTTTAAGGATTAAACTTATAATTTAAAATGCCTTTTGCATTTATGTGCATCTTTCCTCTTTAGTTTTATTGCTTGCAACGATCACTTTATTGATGAAATATTAAAAGAAAAAAATTGTCACAAGTCTAAATTAGGTTGCTGCTTTTTTTTTTTTTTACTCAATTTTGAGAGAATTACATGTCTAGAGAAAGGTTTAACTAAATGGATAATCTAAATAAATTCCTAGAGATTAGGTAAATCTAAATAATAATGTCTAGATACTAGTAACTAAATAACTAAATCTAAATAATGGGATTACACAAATATCTTTCTACAAAAGTTAGTGTAACCTATGAACTTAATCTTTTTAACTTCGTTAGTGGTAATTTAACATGGTATTAGAGTAGGAGGGTGATAAATCTTTTGTAATACTCCCTTTTTTGTCATTCTCGTTATCCAAGATTGGAGGCCTTTCTTGAATACTCCTTCCCCTTAGGCCCTTTTAACTTTTCCGGAGGGAACACCATGATAATCATATTGTCGGGTTAGATAGACCTATTAGAACAAAATTATTAAAGCTTAGAGATCTATTTGACACTCGAGACACTCGAGTGTATAGACTTATTAGACAAAAATATGAATGTTTAAGGATTAAACTTATAATTTAAAATGCCTTTAGTGTATAGACTTATTAGACAAAAATATGAATGTTTAAGGATTAAACTTATAATTTAAAATGCCTTTTGCATTTATGTGCATCTTTCCTCTTTAGTTTTATTGCTTGCAACGATCACTTTATTGATGAAATATTAAAAGAAAAAAATTGTCACAAGTCTAAATTAGGTTGCTGCTTTTTTTTTTTTTTACTCAATTTTGAGAGAATTACATGTCTAGAGAAAGGTTTAACTAAATGGATAATCTAAATAAATTCCTAGAGATTAGGTAAATCTAAATAATAATGTCTAGATACTAGTAACTAAATAACTAAATCTAAATAATGGGATTACACAAATATCTTTCTACAAAAGTTAGTGTAACCTATGAACTTAATCTTTTTAACTTCGTTAGTGGTAATTTAACATGGTATTAGAGTAGGAGGGTGATAAATCTTTTGTAATACTCCCTTTTTTGTCATTCTCGTTATCCAAGATTGGAGGCCTTTCTTGAATACTCCTTCCCCTTAGGCCCTTTTAACTTTTCCGGAGGGAACACCATGATCATCATATTGTCGGGTTAGATAGACCTATTAGAACAAAATTATTAAAGCTTAGAGATCTATTTGACACTCGAGACACTCGTGTATAGACTTATTAGACAAAAATATGAATGTTTAAGGATTAAACTTATAATTTAAAATGTCTTTTGCATTTATGTGCATCTTTCCACTTTAGTTTTATTGCTTGCAACGATCACTTTATTGATGAAATATTAAAAGAAAAAAATTGTCACAAGTCTAAATTAGGTTGCTGTTTTTTTTTTTTTACTCAATTTTCAGAGAATTACATGTCTAGAGAAAGGTTTAACTAAATGGATAATCTAAATAAATTCCTAGAGATTAGGTAAATCTAAATAATAATGTCTAGATACTAATAACTAAATAACTAAATCTAAATAATGGGATTACACAAATATCTTTCTACAAAAGTTAGTGTAACCTATGAACTTAATCTTTTTAACTTCGTTAGTGGTAATTTAACATGGTATTAGAGTAGGAGGGTCACAATAAATCTTTTGTAATACTCCCTTTTTTGTCATTCTCGTTATCCAAGATTGGAGGCCTTTCTTGAATACTCCTTCCCCTTAGGCCCTTTTAACTTTTCCGGAGGGAACACCATGATAATCATATTGTCTTGAATACTCCTTCCCCTTAGGCCCTTTTAACTTTTCCGGAGGGAACACCATGATAATCATATTGTCTTGAATACTCCTTCCCCTTAGGCCCTTTTAACTTTTCCGGAGGGAACACCATGATAATCATATTGTCAGGTTAGATATTTCATTTTATGATGTGGAGTTTGTACAAATTTCTAAATCCTAAGCCTAAGCATCTTTTTGCTTTCAGTTTCTACTCAAGTCTCATTCTTTTAGATTGAGTAACTTTCTTGTAATGAGGGATGGGACTCCTTTCGGTGAACTTGTATTTTTGTTTGCCCTTATACATTCTTTCATATTTCTCTATGAAATCCCAGTTTCTTACATAATTTTTTTTATTACTTTTAGATCCCTCTGACTTAAAAGTTCCACAATAGTTCACTGTTGACCAGTATCTCCCTCTGATTTATGTTCTCAATGATTTTCTGTTGACCGGTATCTCGTAGTCTTTGTTTGATTTGCGGATGAATTTTCCTTTCTTTTTTACCCATCTTTGGTTTGAGCTTTTTCCAGCTTTAGCAATTTTCATGTCAGGTATAGGTCCCATGATTATGTGAAGATCAAATCCTTCCATTTTGCGCTGCTTATCTTGCTTTAAGATTGTTTTTTCCTTCACCAACTATTTTTCTAAATATTTTCTCAATTAAAGTTCCACTAAAGAAAGTAGCGAGGCCAGGCAACATAATAATCAACTTTTTTTCAAATGAAATACCCGCTTTCATATCTGATTAATGAAATACAAAGCATGGACCAGTCGAAGAAAAGCTCAAAACAGAAAAGTCCTCAGAGATATAAGAATTGCATTCTATTCTCATATTTCTCATTGGGATTTTTTCCCCACGTTTATACCACCTTACCCGCATTGGTTATTGTGTACTTATGATATTTATTTGCTTAATTTTGGTTTTTTTCTGTCACCTGTTGGATAGGGAATCTTTGGATGTGTCTGCACTTCTCTCTCTTCTGGAAGATGCCCATCCTCGCTTCATGTGTATAGATATTCATTTTTTTCTATAGATATTCATTCTTCTCGTTGTGGTCGGTGAAAATTTCTAAGAAGGTTAAATTTTTTTCTTGGTAGTCTTACCTGGGAGAGTCAGCACTATTAGAGTGCATTAGGTACACTTCCCTCTTGTTAGGGCCATATTGGTGAATTCTTTGTAGGGGGTGTTCGAGACTTTGGGTCATATCCTTGGAGATGGATTTTGCTCTCTTGATTTGGAACTCATTTATGGAGGCATTTGGTGTGTGCATGACTCAAAATGCTCCCAGATTTTTTTTTCTCTCCATATTTTATGTATCATTTGACTAGAAAGGAACGGGAAGATTTTTAGAGAGTTGGAGAGGTCGTGAAAAAAGATGTCGGCTCTTGCCAAGTGTAATCCCTCTTTGAGTGTCTGTCTAAAGTTTTTTTCAACTATCCTATCAGCTTTGTTATTTTTTATTGGAGCTGTTATTCTATGGCGTTAGGTCTTTAGGTGTTGGTTCGACTCTGTTTTTTGAGTGGTGTTTTATGTCTCTTTTGTGTTCTTTCATTTATTCTCTTTCGGTAAGAAAAAAGATTCTCATATTTCTTTCTAGTAAGATATTCTAGAGAGTAGCAAAGAAATATTTCTTCCAAAAAGCCACCTCTTGCATTACAAAAAATGTTCAAGTATAACATATTCTGACAACCTCTACTTAAGTAGATTTTTATTGATTTGAAACTTTGTGTTGTGATACGACACATAAACCTTTCAGGTGCTTAATGAAAAATCCACACAACAGTCGACCATTTAGGTAAATTCCAAACAATAAACACGAAGTACAAGCTAAATGAACTGTATTCAATAATAAAATCTCCAACCATGGTCGACCACTTAGGTAAAGCCCAAACAGTAAACACAAAACACAAGCTAAGTTAAAAGTACACGATAATGAAATCTCTAACCATGGTCGACCACTTAGGTAAAGCCCAAACAATAAACACAAAACACAAGCTAAGTTAAAAGTACACGATAATGAAATCTCCAACCATGGCCAATGTAAGCATGACCTAACATTACTCAAAGCTGTCATCTCTGTAGACATGCATTAGGCTTTAAACCATTGAGACTCTTTGGACAAAGTCTGGCAAATCCTCCCTAAAACAACCAAGAGACCTGTGATCGTTCGAGGCCTTTTGAGGTTCTTACTTATACTTAAAGGACCCTTTCCACTTTTAAGCAATGTGGAGTTCAGCCTGTTTTCCTTGTTGAATAATAACCATCAGATGCTCAACTGAAAACTAAACTAGCAACTTTGTAGTTATCAGTTGTATGCTTTCCTTTGAAGAGAAGAAAGTAAAGGACTTCTTACAATAACGCTAGAGAGTTGTTTAATATGTGGGGCTTAATTGTTCATATTTAGTTATTTATTTATATTTGTAGAAACCAATGAATTTATTATTAAAAAAGTCAAGATAAGATTGGGATTATAGTTATTCTTTAAGTTGAAGAAAGCTAAAATGATTTGTTGTGAGGGAAAAGAAAGAAAAAGAAGTGTTCCATCCATTCTTCTTGAGTAGTTTATTTACTTTGTTTCTACTAATAAAACATAGACAGGAACACATTTGAAAGATGCAGCAAATTATATACTTATATAGACATATTTAATTTTGTGGTGCAGGCTTAGGTCGTTCATGGAGTTGTGCATTTTAATTCCTGGGAGTCCCTCAAAAAGTTATAAAAAAAATGTTCATGTTAGTTATTTGCAGCCTTTCTTTCTAAATTTCTATTTGGTTGTATATTGACATGTTCCTTTTTCTCATTCCAATTACTTGCATAGTTTCTAGACAACTTTGTTGTCTTATGCGTTGGGGTTTAACTAGTATTATGCTTATTAGTTAATTGGGTTTAACTAGTATTGTGCATGTTAGTTAATTTATGATTAGTAACATGGGATAGTAGTAGGAGTTTGTTGGAGGGAATTGGTATGGCTAGTGGTTGTATGGAAGGAAAGAGAGCAATGTGTGAGATACTATATTCTGTTCGATGCTGTCTGGAATAGAAATATAACATTTCTCAACGAGTGCCTTTGGAGATTTAGGGAAGAACGTCATATCTTTTGTGGTGGAGAGGGTTCTTTTAGTAGTTGTGATATTCATGATTTTGGAAGGTTTTCAATGGTTGCTGTGTTATATTAGTTCTTGGAGCAGTGGTTCTCCTTTCCCAAGTGTCTTCCTTTTTCCCTTATTTCTCTGCCTTTTCTTGTTGCTTTAGCATTTCAGTTATTTTAACCAGTAATTTATGTCGTTACATTTGCTTTTAATATGGTAGTTTACATGGAAGGGGAGAAACAAATACGAAATATACTTTAAACATAGTCGCTTTGTAATCTTTTTGCTTGAGTGACATGTTCTTCACATGCTTACACAGTTGCTATCATCGTTTTGATTTTTTGTTTGCTTTGGACGAGGCACAGTTGAGACATTTAAAAGCATATAAGTACATGCACTCATACCTACTTAAGTTCTTTCGCATTTTACTTTGCTGTGCATGTCGGCTCTTTAAATGAACTAATTATCCTGTGTAAACAGTTTGATATTTATTGACACTGATAAGATATCAATGCGTCCATATCAATGTCACTTCATGTGTGCATCCACATTTGAAATTTTACTTCGATGTCCACAATGCTGCTATATATGCTTTAGATATTTGGTTGACACTAAGGTATTATCATCTATGATGATCTAGCAAGGAGGTTCACCAGCATCCTGGAAATGCTCTGAAGAAGTTTTTGCCCACCAAATAAAGAGTAGAGATCCTCTTAAACTAGGGTCAGTTCATTATTATTATTTGATTGTATTTCTCTTCCTTTTCCTGCATGATATTCTGGTTTAGTGCATATTCTTTTATAAACAAACTACTCCTAATGCTTCTTTTTCCAATATGTATCTTAGTATCTATGTTTCAAAAGTTACCCTTATTTTATTATCTATATTCTTTGACAATTTGAAAGTTTACTTTGACATGTTAGGAGGCGTCATATGAGCACACAATTCACTCCTGTTGTAGGGATTATATCACATATTTCTTCAAATGTCTTGTGTGAAAATGAAGTGCGATATTCAAAGAAAAGATGAGATGATAAACAGGGATAAATGTTGAGAAGAATAAAATTTGGGTGGCTGATGCGTACTTTGAAACATGATAACTATATGTTGAATTTTTTATTTGAGCTGCATATGCATTTTACACCAACAGGTCAGATTTGAGACAGTGTGGGACACGTCATTTTTAAGTGGGTTTAACAGAGGTTGGCTTTCAGCCATCAAGGAACTTGAATAATGTAACAAAGGGATTAATGTGACAAATACTATCGTAATTCTAGATTTCCTACTAATGTCCTTCTCATCATAAGTGGTTTTTACTGTGGCACCAGGTTTCCAAATGTTTGGGCTCTACGGTTGGTCCGCAACCTACTACAATGGAATCCAGTGAGTTTTTAGTGTGGAAGTACGAATGTTCCATTTTTATTCAATGATATTGGAAGCACCCATCTTGCATACGGTGGTAAAAATTGGATCGAGAAAAAAAAAATTATCTTGGAAGTTAAAATAAGACTTTTAGCAATCTTTGTCTGTAAATATATGACGTGGAAAAGTGATTGTTGTGGTGCATGCTATCTACTTTGCAGTTACGCATGCTTATATTTTCAGGAATTTTATTTGCTAACACAACTATAAGTCCTCGATGTTTTTTTATCGTTAAGACTTGTCCTAAAGCATTTAATAAGACATGCATGTATAAATCTAGAATTTTGTGTTCCAACCAACGAATTTGGGTTGTGCCATTAATAGGTAAAGTAAGTTGCTATATGCTTCTGTGCTAGACTTCCTCCGGCATTTTCTACGTGTATTCGCCCAACAATTTCATCAGTGTAGTGTATGTACTGACGAATAATTCGCTCATTTGAAAGAATTGTGGGCTAGATAGTGCTCTTAGTAAATAGTTTCTTCTTTTTGTTTCATAATGCGTTATCAGACGGCTTAAGCAGTTCAACTGAAATGTTTTGAATGCGTATGAACTGCAGGAGGACCGTTTAAATGTCGACGATGCTCTGCGACATCCTTATTTCCACCCTTTTTCCTAAATGAGTATGAATTTGCAGATTGACAAATCTTATACAGAGATTAGTTATTTCACCAAAAGTAAAGGTACCACTTTTTCAACAATCTTGTATAAGAGTGAATGGTCTCCTACATTTTACCTAATTTTCTTTTACATGTTTGCAGGTTATGTTGCTGACAATCGAAAATGCTCATGCATCAAATATCAGAAGCTTGATTGATGCACTTTTTTACGTCAAGCGAGAGCTCTCATATTGATGCTTTCTTGATCAAGATTCGAGATGTTTCAGTGACAGTAATACTATCATATTTTTGCAAAGGTTGTAATTGAACAGTACCCATATATCAAATGAGTATTGAACCATAAAACTGGGTTGAGTTTGGGATCTCTACGACACCTTTTTAGTGATAGGGATGGGAGATTTTAATTTTTTGACCCGACAAAAATAATAAACCAAATTTTAATTGCCAAATAACTGATGAGCAGGTGGCTTCATGAGACTTTTTAAGATGCGTGGGATATTTGATATGCAAGCTTGAGTCATAGTTTCTGTAGTACTTGTCATTATATATTTGAGCAAACGCACCAATCATAAATGTTATTAAAAATCTTAATCATCTGTTAATTAAGTTAGGATGTATTATATCTCACCAAGAAATTAAGATCGTACTGAAAAAATACAACCACATTTGCTTTTCAATGGTTGGTAATATTTAGTTTTTTTTTCCCCACTGTTTAAGCAGCTTTACACTGATTCTTCAGAATACATTAAGAACACAGGAATTGAAACAGATGATTTTACAATGATTGATTATAATTACCAAAAATCTAACGATTTATAACTTACAAAACCTGAAATACGGGGGAAAAAATCTACGAAATGGTCGTTACATACACATGCTCTAGTATACATTATGCCGATGGCATTGCAACTGGACATTTGTTGTCACCCATTCTACACTCATGGTTCGTGGCTGTTAACTCGGCTATGAAGCTCCAGCATTTCTTGATGATTTGGGTCAACCGAAAGAGCAGCTCGACAATCCCGCAGAGCACCCAAAACATTATTAGTATGCTCATGGAATGCCGCTCGCAGATGTAGAAGGTGAAGGTCTGCTTTGAACGCTATTGCCCTTGATAGTTCGGCAATAGCTTCATTTACCTTGTGGCTATCCATCAACACTGTAACAGAACAAATCATTTAGTTAACCAAAAAAAAAAAAGCTAAATCCTTAGCAATGGCCATATAGCAACATCAAATGCTATACATTTCCAATATTTGCAGATCCCAAAGGAAAAAGAAATTCAACTTGTACATAGAATCACATGTCCCCATTCCACATTTATGTTTTATTATGTCAACTTCTATTATGGGCTCACTATTCCTCAAGTAATTATCATCATCATATGGCAATCTAATACCACAAAGTGATGAGATTGGCCAAAGACTAATATATACCATCAATATTATTCTTAGGCATCATCCTAACAACAAATAAATTGGTGGTTGTAAAAGCTTGATGTATAAGGCAGTCAAAATAAACAAGGGTAAATAAAGGATATAACAACCTGCAGCGCGGTATCTGTATGGGTACACCCGAAGAGGATCCAATTGAGTGACCATATCTAGATCAGCTTTTGTCAAGTCACGGTCACCATACTCAGACCTCTTCTCGTATGCAGATGCATTATTACGTGCCTTTTCAATTAGTTTGGTCATCTCCTCATATGCTGCAGCCTTATCATTCCTCAGATAATGAACCCGAGCAAGACCTTGATGGGCTCGAGTATGACGGATTTTGAGGGCATTAATGTAGCAATCAGCAGCTAAGTCTAGCTTCTCACAGTCAACATAAACACTTCCAAGATTGTTCAGAGCCTGAAAAGAAATGGCCAGTTAAACTATTTAAAGAGACTTTCAATGCAAGCCACAACTAGTTGGCAGTCTGCCCAATCACATCGATGATTCCGCAGACGCCAACTTCACTCAATTCCTGTGATTTCTGATTTTGTTAGTCAGGAAGATAATGGACAGAAATGTTTTATGTGGTATCAATTCCATCAATAAATATTAAACTTTCAGATTAATACTCCACATATCTATGAGTCCTTCACTGCTGATACGTTTCAGACTTACAGTCATTCCAGCATTTTCTGGCTGGCAACCAACATACTGTCAATTTATAAATTGATAAATGAAATAACATTAAGAGGCAACAGCTAAAAAGACGAGTTCTAGAAAAGGTCTCCAAGTGGCAATGATGAACTGGAGGGATAATCACAGATATAGCATCAAATAGTAAATAATTAAAGTAAGATCCACTCTCTCACAACAATATTAAGGTTTTCAAGGATATCTAGTTAATTGAATAAGACATTTCACAGATTTATCTCAAGTGGTATAGAAAGATACTCATCCTTCAACCATCATACTATTTGGTGGAAATCCATTATGAACATGTAGGTTATTGAGAAAACCGTACCTGACCTTTGCGCAACCTATCTGAAGGGCACTTCAGAGCATCTTCTAGGAGGGAAATAACTGTAGAAGAACAAGACGGATCTTGGCTTGAGTCAGCCAGTGCATAGGCCTTCAAGAAGAAGGCTTCAAAGGATCTCCTAATTTTAATTGATTCCTCAGCTTTTTGGAGCCCTTCCTCACAATGACCAGTATCATACAAAATCCAACCCTCATAAACCAGTCTCTCATGTTCGCTGGATGCATGTTGACGAGCTAACTGTAAACTCCGCATGGCAGCTTCAGGGCAGTTCAACCTGAAATTTCAACGAATGCAATCTTCAACTGTCACTTGGAAAATATTACTTTCCCACTTCACAAAAGTGGGGCCCAAAGCAGGAAGGGATATGCAATGACATGGAAACGTTTCAAGACAAGGGGTTGTAATATTGATTCTTTTAAATTGTGTTCTGTTGAAGAACATATAAAATGCAATACTAATGAATTAAAGAATTTAAGTAATTAGAAGTAGCTAGTAATACAGACTAAATTTCCTACTCATGTACTGTAGAAATATATTTGCAGTGCAAATAATGTTCTTGCACTCTACCATTGCGAGGTAAAGGAAAAAACACATTATCTCGTTGCTTTGAAAAGGCCAGCATGTCTACGTATGAAATGACTAGCCTGAATACTGAATACATAATTTACTCAATTTGTCGTTGGTCATGCATTCAACATGCATAGTTTTAACAATGAAGTTTATATGTTATTAATTCAGCATATGCCCTTATCTGAATTTTTTTAGCATATGCCCAAAAATCAACCAAAATCTAATTTCAGCATGTAAAAAACGCTCAAAGCCTTCTAAAGCTCAATGTCCAATTTTTCAACAACAATAATAAATGGAAAAAAAGTAATCTACAGCCTCAACACAAATAGGTGACCTATTAACCTATCAGGAGAAAATAAGGCCATCTATTCGAACAATTGCTTATAGAAAGTTGCATCCAGCCAATCATTGCTGGACACCAAACAAAAATATCTACGAAAAAGAAGTCACAGGCTGAGGTTAATGACATGACATACCGCAGAAGAAGCAAAGACTGTCTGAAGTATAGGACACCTTTTGCTGCATCAGACTCAAGCATCTGGTAGATTACAGACAGAGACCCGATATCATCAACTGAAGACCATCTATCATACAACTGAATCCAACAATCTGCTGTTGTCCAATTGTTAACATGCTCACGTACAAGAGTTCGGAGTTGGGATGCAGCTGCTTTTCCCTCAAACATCCGATAATCAGGGGAGAGAGTAAGAATTGCTTGAATGTCACAGATTGCTGCTTGATAATCTTCAAGAGCAAGGTAAAAACAAAACCGGAGTTCCAAGCATTCAAGTGCAAGTTTAAATCCAAGAATACGGTTGATTTCGGCAAGAGCTGCATGAACATCTTGTTTCCTCATTAAGGAAGCAGCTCTAAACATATAGGGATAAGTCAGAGTTGGGTCCAAGCCAGTTGCTTTCTCAAGATCTGCCAATCTTTTATTGCCATCGCAATATAATGATCTCTCCTGATACATCCAACCAAGCGGGACACCAGTAGAGATGACTGAAGTCAGTTTGTCATAGGACCATTGCTTGTTACCATTTATGTGACTTAACCTAGCCAGCCCAACGGCAGAATAAATATGGCCTGCATTAAAAGCAGCCTCAAACAGACGGTTAGCTTCATCATACTCTTTCCTCAAGAGCCTCACACATCCCAATTGATGAGAAGCAAAAAGTCTCTGCCTATCAGTTTCAGCAAATTCCACCAACCTTTCTAGGAAACAAGCAGTGTTCTCAGATTGAGGATCAAGATATAAGGAAACTTCACTTAGCAAACAATAAAGCGCAAACGAGGCATGACCAACCATAATTGACCTTTGTTTTTTATTAGCAAGCATAAATATTCCCACCACACGATGATCACTCAAGCAATCAGGGAGATCATTTAGAAAAGTTTGCAGGCACGATGCAGCAAGAATATGGCAGTCCTCTTCGAGGGCATAGTCCATGAGCTCTAAAGCATCTTCTCTAGAGGATACAAGAGATGCCAGTTTTCTGTCACATGCATCTTTGAGCTTTTCACAACAAAATTTATTTGCAAAAATCAATATTTCTAACAAAAGATCTGGAGAAACTTCACCCAAATTCCCTGTGTTGCTGAACTCCCTTATAGCCCTCATGCCCGAAGGGGAAAGATTGTTTTCAGACAGATCAATGACCTCACGGTTTGATTCAGTGAAGCACCCATTAAGCATAGCATGAAAAGGAGCTGAGAGACCTGAAATTTTCTGTTTATCACAAACAATATCCTCATCGTTAATTTTAAAAGTGACATGCTTTGAGACTGGGTTCCCATTAGCGGCACAAGTGTCATAGAAACTTCCAGCATCTAACACAGTATCTACAGGGAAATGGGTAGCAATATCTTCCGGTCCAAACTCTTGTGCGCATTTTTCACAAGTGGAAAGTAGGTCAGCAATAATTTCTTCCCCCTGCTTCTCATATTTTAACCATGCCCCAAATATAAGCTTCTCATGGACAATACTAGCTTTCTGCCAAGCAGAACGAAGACTTCTTCGCATAAGTTTAACCTCGCCAAGCCCCCTAAAGACCTGAAACTGAAGCAAATAGAGATTCGATCTCTCATGGGCGGGACATGACTCAAGTTCTTCATGAATTTGAGCTAGAACTTCCACATAATCAACAGGTTTGAAGTACGGCAGAATTGATGGTTCAGGGACCTTGATAAGAGATTCTCTACAACAATAAAATCAATCCAATGAAATTAATTTGCTGAAATAAATAATAGACAACAAAATAATAGCGGGAAAAAAAGAGGTAAAAAAAAAAAAAAAAACAGGCTTACATCGAAGAAGAAGAGGATTGTAACGAGAGTTTGGACAATTTCCCTCTCTCAACCTGGAGCCAAGCCTGTGGATAGAAAGCATTGAGCTGCGTTTCTTTACAGGAGTCGGAAGGGAAAAAAGTCTTCATAGCGCACGGGAGTTCAACAAGACTCCCGGATCTCCAAAAATGCCAGATGGCTACGTTTCCCCAACCGAACTAACCTAACGAGGACCAATATGAGAGAATACTGAAACATACATCGCAGACAAAAACAAATCGTCAGATCGCAAAAACCTAATCTGGTCGGGGAATTTCACGCTCAACAATTCAAAGCTCCATATCAAAAATATTCTCGGACTACGAAAAAGCAGCTCAGAATCTTCCAAAGGAAAAGAAAACGAATCGAAGAAAAAAAAGAAAAAAAAAAGCCTCGTCTTTGGGGACGGTCACCACCATAGACGGTAAGGATAATAAAAAATTGCAGTGAATCACCGTTTTGAGTATAGAGAAATGAAAAGAGAAATGAACAAGGATTAGTGTGATTAAGATGTAAAGACAACTAGGGCGAAACAATCACCGGGAATTATGTAAGATCCCTCTCCCAGAAGCGCAATGAAGAAATCCAGAAAATGATCCATCCAAGTCCTTCAAAGATGTGGAAAAATTGGAGATTACAGGGTGAGCTCTGGAATCGTGAAGATCAAATTGAAAAAGGCGAAAACGAAAATTTGAGCCTCGAACATCTTTTGAGCCTTTGTTTGTATTTTTTTTTTTTTTTTTTCCGTTCTTTTTTTATTCGCGTTTGGTGAAAAGGAGAGTTGTCTTCTTTTTGTCTTCCTTTCTCACGTTCTTTCCGTTGGAAGTCCAGAAAAGATTGCAGCCACTGTTTTCGTTTCGTTAGGGAAAAAAAAATTAATAATAAATAATCAAAATTTAGACAAAGGCCAAGGCATTGCTAAAACGCTGTCGTTTTAAGATGATTTGTCCTGTGGCCAATCTGGTCCTCACCCTTTCAATTACTCTTTATATTTCAATTATTGGCATGCCACAAATATTTTTATTTTTCTTCCTTCCATCATTATACATACCTATAACGTACTATTAATAATTAAAAAGAAAAAAAAAAAGAAATTTTGCGGGGAAGCATGCTGATGAAATGTTCGAGTGAGCACATGGAAACAATTATTAAGATGGGCGAGAAAAGTGAGTGTAGGTCTACGTGACGACGGAATAACTCCTCTGAGGGACAGTCTTCACCGTAGCCCACACCAGATCCATATATAGAGGAAACTGTGCAATTGCAAACAATGTGACTGGCAAGCAAGTCACAGCGTACACTGGCAATGCAGCATATTGAAGCTTTTCACTCAGCACAAAGTAATGCCCCGCACAAAACGAAACCAGCATTGCTGCAATCGACACGAAAAGCGACGATAAACCCACCAGAAGCTTCCTCGGCAGATTGCCACCGAAGTCCTTTTCTTGGAACCTCGACGTCAAGATGGACAGAAACATCACTAATGCCGTCACCGAGCAAGAGAGTGCAATCAGAGACGCGATCGCAAATACGTTGAAGGTGGGTTGCCCGTGGAGCAATGGCGTGCCTTTTGGATCGTTCCCACCCGGGACGGTGGCAGCGGTGGCGAAAGCGACGGTTGCAATCAGGGCAGCCACCAAAGAGCAGGACTCCGAGGTGCTTGTAAGCCACTTCCCCCCGTTTTCTACCAGCTCACTATGGGTCTCGGATAAGATGAGTCTTGCAGTCTTTCGGTCCTTGTTATAGTGGGGGAAAAAGTTTGGGGGCATCGATCCCTTCACATACTATCATCGCAATGGTGGTAACACTGGTTAAAGGAAGTGGAGCAGGATATTGATAAATAAGTACTTAAAAGCCCCCGAAATTACCTGATACCATTTGAGTTCCCATTGCATTTGCAAGGCAGCTCCGGGGATGAGCCAAGGCTTATAATCTCCCAGCTTTGCTGCAAGGTGCAACGCACTGTTGCCTTGAGAATCCACAACTCGAAACGCACTCTGTTTCACAATATTTTTCTCCAGCAATAGTTGGTAGACATGAGGATGCCTATTCTCCACAGCCAACAACACAATGTTCTTCCGATCCGCGTTTAGATCATGGATGGCCACAGGAAATAGACGGAGGATTTTCTCCACCATCTCCACCACGCCATTCTTTGCTGCAATCAACACAGGCGTCTCTGTTGTTCTCCCTGCCGCTGCTGCAGCTGTGGGAACCACTTTCTTGTTGTTCTTCTTGTCTCCAATAGTTGGAGGAATATGTTCGTGGATTTTATCAACCAAGCCACCCTTCGATTCTATAACAATGTTTGTTCCTTCTTCTTTCTCTTCTGCTACCACCAACACAAAATCCATCCACATCAGCTATTCAACATGCGTTTTTACTGAGTTATTTGAAAGAAGCTACAAATATTATTGTATACCGTCACTAATCTCCTCGTGGGACGGCATGTTTGGTTGTTGGGGAGAATCCGTGGGAGGTTGAAGATGATGGGTTGGATGTCCAGAGATGTTGTGATCATCGAAGGTGACACTGCCGTTGGCGAAGTGATAAGGCTGTGTTTCTTCTTCTTCTTTGGATCCCGTAGGTGAACCTCCATTGTCATCATATTCATACATTGAAGCACATTGTAGAAGTTGGTTCATAACTTGGACAGCCCAAGTGTGCTTCTCCTTCTTCTTCTGAATCTTTTTTATTTGTGCAGAGCCTTCCACACAAAGTTCCATTAATACACTTGTTAATGAAGGTGAGAATAGTTAATGGTGGGTTTCAGACTACCTAGCCCCATCACTATGAGCACTGCCTTGGAAGCCATTTTCAGAAAGTTGAAACATGTGGCATAATTTTGGGGGAGAATTGCGAGCCCATGATGATTGACAATTGAATCATGCCCTGTAATTCACGAGAATTCAAGACATGCATCTGTAATAATATATATATTGATGGTTACTTCAAACAACCTTTTTGTTGGGGAGGATTCTCTGCATCTGCATCTGCATCTGTGGTGCTTTTGGCATTGTGGCTGTTGGGTTTTTTGTTTGTTGTCCCCACAGTAAACACTACAAAGAAAAAGGGCGAAAAGTGAATTACATAGTAAATGTTAATAATTGCTTAGGCTGTAAGACATGACCCAAGACAGAAGCTTGACCCATTCCAATTCCTTTCCACAGAAAACTGAAGAAGTGGGCGCATGTGTTGTAGTTGGCTGGATAACACTTGTGATGGTTTGGATACGAGGGTCGTTGGTGCAGTGATAGGGGCCTCTTGGGTAGAGCGTGACGAAATGAGTGTGGTTCCACCTTTATTTGGTCCACAAAGATACCTGATATAAAATTGAATTTTTAAGTGTACTTTAGCTGTTGCGGAAGTAAGGCATATTTGGAAGTATCGATATAGAAATAGTTACAGTGATAAACGATCATCTTCCATCTTCCTAAGTGAGTTCCACTCTTGAAAGCGGAAGGCTTGGTGGCAAGAAGATGGAGTGGAGTAAAACCTTGGACATTCACGAACTCCACCAGTTCCTTGTACAGTTTTATGATATGAACTGCCAGCTCTGTTCAAAATCAAGATAAATAAACAGCGTCTCACATTTATACAAGAAAGAGAGGGAATGAATAGAGAAGACTGACCAAAGAAATCACCCAAAATGGCGCAATGAAGAATGGTGTGGCCGTCGTTGGATCTTCGACAGTGGTCGATGGTGCAGGTGCAGAAGGCGTCGAGGCAAAGGAAAGCATCTTTGTTGCCATGCAGAGCCGCCAAGAAGAGTGGTGTCTCGCCCTCATGGTTTCGAATCCCCACCAAGGAAGCCTCAACCGACGCTATGTCGTAACACATCTTCACATTCCCAAGCGTAGCCGCAACGTGAAGCGCCGTATTGCCTCTGTCGTTTCCCATTTCAAGCACTTTCTTGGTGTTGCCTTTGTCCTCTGAGATTATTATTGTCACCAGTTTTTCCACTACGCCAACTTGGCCGTCGCTCACTGCCACGTGCAGCGCCGTGTCCCCTCGCTTCGTGATTTTCAGACCGCGAGCTCTTACATCCGTTGAGTACTTCTCCACCACTTCTTCCCATCTTCCTTTCATGGCGTTTTCGAACACAAATTTCTTCAACCTTTCTATCTCCATTTCCTTGCTCTTTCATCTCTCAACTCTTGTCTCTCTTAAATACTTTTTGTTGTGAAACCAAGGGGAAGAGGTGGGTTTTCATTGTGCTTGAGCATCAAGTTTTGAATCTTCCATTACTTTGGGTTTGCCTTCTTTTTTATTTGTAAATGTAACAATGATTGATTTTTCTTTTTCTTTTTCTTTTCCTTTTTCTTTTTCCTTTTCTTTGTATTCAAACAAGGTGTACTACTTCACCGTTTTCAATCTTCTAATTTCCTCATTTTATATCCAAAACATAAGATACCAAGAGTGTGTGTATACATATATAAATTCATTAATCTCTGAAATAAGACCACAAAAAGGAAACACATCAATAAATTCATTCAAAACACCAATGCTTCTATGTGAGTTATTAATGGAATAAGTTTAGATGGAAAAAGCATAAGTGCTTTTACTTGTTGCAAACAATCTCTCCTCAAGTTGTTTTTTCGGCTTTAGTTGTTTGTTTCAACATATTTGGTGAGTCATTTCCAACATTAACAAGTTCTTTGTTTGCTTTACTACTGTGCATCAAATCGAAGCAGAGAGGAAGCTGCACAATACCGAAGATCACTGCCACAGGGAGGAAAGTAAGTGAATACAGCAGAATGGCTTCGTTGTGAAGACGGTTGATGATCAGAAAGTAGTGCCCCGAACAGAAGGAAACCAACATGGCGATGATAGAAAAGTAAGCCGATCAGCAATTTCCACGGCAACACTAACCCGAAGTCTTTGATATCGAACCTGGAGGTCATGATGGCTAGAAACATGATGACTGAGGTTGAGGAGAGAAAGAGAGCAATTAGGGAAGAGTAGGAGAAGATTGAAAACCCTAGCTCCTGTCCATGTATTGCACCACCATTCTCGTCGTTGCCGCCTGGGATGGTCACTGCGGTTGCAAAAGCTACTGTTGCAATCAGAGTCGCCACCAAAGTGAATGACTCCGAGGTATTGTAAAGCCACTCTCCACCCTTTGTCGCAAGTTCCTTGTGGGTTTCCTGGAAGATTGCACTTGCAGTTTTTCCTTCCTTGTTCCAGTGGGGAAACACACGGAGTGGCACAGAACTCTTCACGTACTGCCAAATTTTCCATTCAATCACTTGTCATTTTTTTTTTTTTTTTTTTATAGAAAATGCTCTGTATATATATATTTTGAATACTTACTTTGTACCACTTAACTTCCCACTGCAACTGTAATGCAGCTCCTGTGATGCGCCAAAGCTTTGGATCTATGACGGTTGCTGCGAGATGTAAGGCGCTGTTGCCCTTATGATCCACCGCTCGAAACAGGCTTTCTATCAATTTGCTTTCCTTGAGTAAAAACCTGTACACCTCCGGCTGCCTGTACTCCGCAGCCAACAGCACCACATTCTTCTCCTCTTTGTTAGTATCATATATAGCCAGCGGAATACGTCTGGACATTTCCTTCACAATCTCAACCACTCCATTCTTTGCTGCTAATAACATCGCCGACTCGGTTGCTGTACATAACCCAATGTAGTATATAATTAATCATACATCTGCAAACCAACAAAAAATAAATAACAAAAAAGTAGCATACCTTCCACATCTTTGAGCTTCTCTACTTCTTTGGGCTTCTCTACTTGTTTGGACTCCTCGAATTGTTTGGGCTCGTCTACTTGTTTGGGCGCCTCTACTTCTTCTGGTTCCTCCTCAATCAAAAGACGAATTGGAGCTCATCATTTACAAAGTCGCAAGGAAGTGCAACTCCATCTGCTTTGTCAATGTGAAATCTGGAATCCATGGGACTTTTTCCATCGTCTCCATAATTATAGCGATTAGCCAAGTCAAGAAGTTGTTTGGGCGGCTCTAGTTCTTCTAGTAACTCCTCAATCAAATGATGGAATCGGACCTCATTATCTATAAGTGGCAAGGAAGTGTAACTCCATCTGCGTTGTCAATGTGAAATCTGGAATCCATGGGACTTTTTCCATCGTCTCCATAATTATAGCGTTTAGCCACATCAAGAAGTTGGTTCATCACTTGAACCGCCCAAGTGTGCTTCTCTTGTTTCTTCCGTATCCTATTGATTTCATTGGTTCCTGCATTTAATTTTGGAGAAGCACAATTAATTAGACTCAACCCCACTTGTATTGAGCAATGCATAATACATACCGCGTCCAAAAATGATCATGATGCCCAAGAAAGCAATACGAAAAAAATAGATGCAGGTGCTGTAGTATACGGAGAAGTATGTAGTTGAGGTCTCCGTGGCTGCCATCAACAACAATGAATGTTATGTTAGATATGAATATAGTTTGGGAGGGTTGAACTGAAGTTGTAAAGCTTGTTGCGTATACATAAACCTGATTTAGTATTCAGAGGTTTCTGTTTTTCCAAGTCTCTGTTGCTCCTGTCTCCATCATTTTTCGTGTTATTCTTCTTCTTGGCTCCATCATTTTTCGTGTCATTCTTGTTGTGGCATTTAAAATTCCAGACTGTATGTTTGGGTAGGATAAAGTATTATGTAGGTTGTAAGATTAGTAGGAGAAGGATATATAAAGATAATACGTATACCCACATGTCAAAAATATATCCTTCATCCCCCTATAAAAGTCGATGCATGCCCGGTAGTTAACGGGAAAAGGGGAAGGAGAAGCTTTCTCACTTGCTTTTTGCACACTTCGATCCAACTCTTGCTTCAGGTCCTCAATTGATCAGGCTGTAGTGGATTCACAATTAAGCCTGAAAACATTTGTAGTTCTTTGTTTCCACCAAACCTATATTTAAAAACTATAAACATTTGGTGAAAGAACTCACAGTGATAGATGATGCGCTGCAATCCTTTGATGTGGCTTCCACTTTTGAAGGAAGTTGGCTTACTGGCTAGAACATGGACAGGGGCTAGGCCTGCCGCATTCACCCAGCTTATAGCCTCATTGTTCATGTGAATTAATTGGAACGCCAAACCTGCCATCTCAACCCAATTAATTTTGAACTTCACACTTGGGAAAAGGAGAGAGAAGAGAGAGAGAAATGAAAGCTCACCAAACTGCTCGTTTCTGAGGGCTTGATGTAGCACGGTGTCTCCCGTGCTCTTCACTCTGCAGTTGGTTTCGATTTTAGATGAGTCCTCTCCAAGTACACAGGCGTTTCGTCCAATTTGTTTCTCACGTGCACCAACCCCCCATGGGCAAGAGCAATGGCGCGGCACATTCTCACGCTCCCCATCATTGCGGCAAGGTGGAGAGGATTGTTGTGCCTCTCATTTTTAGTCGCTAGAAGTCCCTTGTAAATACCTCTGGCTTTGCGAACGCTTTTCACAAGTTTTTCCACTGTTTCTTCTTGATTGTCAATCACAGCCAAATGCAGCGCCGTGTCGCCCTGTGGGTTCAGCTTAAGCTTCTGAGCCCCTGGGTTGTTCTCATACACCTCAATCACTGGCTTCCAATTCCGCGTCATCTTGATTTCACGAAGAGCCCTTGCCAATGGGGTATTGTTACCATGAGACAACATTCTCTTCGCTCTTAGTTTGTTGTTTAATTGATGCACATGGCCTTTATTATCATGTACCTTAGTCCTATAAATAAGGAGCACCGCCTATAGCCCTTGGGATTATGTAAAAGTAGTAAACAAAGATGACAAAGGCTTTAGGGTATCCAAAAATTCTCTCCTTCACCCACAAGCATTGTTAGTCGCTTCAATCACTTAATTATTATTATTTATTTTTATTTTATTTTTATTGTTATTTATTTTTTAGCGATCAACTCTTATCTAGTGTCCACTCCAACACCCACCATTAGGTTTCAATGAACGCGACCGAGAGACTTCATCCAAGAGCGGTTCCTAACAAAATTTTGTATTTGCATCTACTCATTATCACATGTCTAACGTCAAGTGTCGCCGCATACGGACATACCATTTTGAATAGAGTGAGTGTGTGCTTCGTACACCTACTATGTCTTAAGACTTTGATTTAAAGGTAAGAATTATGTGATAGTCTCATGTAAGATGGTTTGGTTTTATATAACAATTAATAATAATTATATATAATAAAAATTAAATATTATATAAGCACCCATAATCAACCCTCTTTTTTTTTCTTTTATTTTTTCTTCTCTTCTTTAATTATTAAATATTGTTTGTTTGGTTTAAATTTGTATGACCATTTTGATTCCTACCCTTTTAAAAGCTTCATTTTAATCCTTATATTATTATAAATAAATGAAAAAAAGAGTATATATATTATATTATATTATATAATAGTAAAAGCTTGTTTTTTAAGGTCGTTTTGTTCATGAGCACGAAGCAAACCCTAGTAGATCAACTCTTATTCGTACTCGCGCCTGCCCGAAGCGAAGCATTTCGTTGAATTTCTCCGCCAATACACGCCGGAAACGTGTCGACCATTCCGGCGGCGCGCGGCCCTCTTTGCCTGACACGCGTCACTCCGCCCTTCGTCATCTTCCTCACATCTCTGCTCTGCGATTTTTGAGAAATTTGATTATTTCCTATTTTGTTTGCATTTTCGTATTTCTTTCTATATGATTCTTTCTACTCATCTACCTATAGCTATTTTTCTTGTAATTCATTTCTAACTACATTGGTAATAAACTCAGTCCAAAGTTGATAAGAGATATCAATACTCACATCAATTGAAAGCGGTAACTCTTCTTTTAGATCAGAAATCCATTCAGTTTACAAATTATGAAGGAAATCTTTTTGTTGAGATATATTCTCCCATTTATGATTTGATTTAGAGTGTATTTTATTTTATTGTCAGTATTTAATTATTTTATATTTTCCTCTTTGTACTACTTGTATTTCTATTTAGAGGATAACAATATCAATGATAATATACATCTTTTCAATTCTATTTTCTATCTCATTCTTAACATGGTATGAGAGCACCGATCTTGATATTCCTAATACCCTTGGACTCTGAGTCCAAGGGGAGTATTAAACTTAAGCCAAACTCTAACTCAATCAGTGAACCTTTACAGCCGCCAATCATCCAATATCAAGAATACGTTATAAAGATCTTCAAATTTCTCACCAAGCTCAAAGGTGACATATTCAAGATGTTCGTATTTTCTTTCACAACCTCTCAAGTGATCCAGAGCACCAATCTTGGTGTTATTATCTAGTAAATCATTTATGCATGGACCAAAAAGTGATCAGGGAGGATATTCACTCATTCCAAATTAAATGGGACAAGTTACTAATACTCGAGTCAATCATTGCTGTCTATTTCTAAAGCATTTATGCATGGACCAAGAAGTGATCAGGGAGGATATTCACTTGTTCCAAATCAAATTAAATGGGACAAGTTACTCATCCTCGCATTGCTGTCTATTTTTTACCTGTATATTTTTATTACTGGGAAGACAAAAGTGTTATTGACCTACACTCTCTTCTCAAAAACAACTCGGGTGTTATTGACCTACTTTCGTAAAGACAAGTTGGATGTGAATACATACACTCTCCAACTTGAGGGGGAGTGTTGAGATATTTAAAAATATATTTAGTTATGAAATAATCTTCGATATTATATCTTTTATTCTTCCATTTATGATTTGATTTAGAGTATATTTTATTTTATTCTCAGTATTTAATTATTTTATATTTTTTAATTTGTACTTCTTGTATCCTATTTAAATGATATCAATTATCAATGATAATATACATCTTCCCAATTCTATTTTCTATCTCATTCTTAATACTTTTCTAGATTAACATACTCAAATTTCGGAATCTAACTTTCAATATTTCTAATGAGGAAACTTTGAAAACAACCGTTCAAGAACTTACCTATGGATTTTCTTGGATCCTTGAAGGTTTTGGACGATTTGAGAGTTAGTTGTCTCCTGATTCTGTGAAGATTTCATGAAGAAGACTCGATCGGAACTGGACTCCTCGTGGCCGGCGGTTACCTCACTCTCTCTAGAGCTTTCCCTCTCTCTCTAGAACTTTCCTTCTCTTTCTAGAATTTTCTCTCTCCCTATTTCTATTCTTTTTCTTTTCCGCCATTTTTCCTTCTCTTCCTTTTTCCCTTTATTTTTATTCTTCTTCTTTTACTTCTAGTAACATAATGACCAAGTGATTGACCTTGACCATCCTTCTCATTTTCTATCATTTTTCTTTTATATTTTTATTAAGTACTTTCTTTTATTTCTAATAATTCTTCTCTTCGTATTTTGGTCTCTAGAACTTTCAATAAAATCTTAAAAGTTCTACTTTAAAGGTAAAATTAGATTTTATTGAAGATTGCCAATAACAGCCAAATGCAGTGCCGTGTGGCCATATCGGGTCATAATCCTTGTTTAAAAGAAAATGTGACTAGAATGATGAGAGATTTGTGTATGTTCTCTAAATCGGTAGGAGACGGACAAATTATATAGACTTTTAGTTTGTTGTTAAACTAAATAATTGAACATTTAAGATACAAGGAAAGAGATGATATCATGTTTCTTGTTCATTTGAATTACTACATCAATTGATATCATGCTACTAAACTTATCACAAACCATATAGCAGCAACAAGAAAAGGATATAATTAACAAAGTAAATGCAAGGTTCATTTTTATTTATAGGTGCGAAGAAAGGTAGAGGTGACATAATTAGTGACCAAATATTAAAGGAAGACATGGGATAGACTATAGGGCTGGAAAAAGCATATAGTGATTTAAGATGTTAATTTATGAAGGGATGATTTGTAAATGAGCTCCACAGAATGAAGTGCAGGGTCGGCATAAATGGCGTTTAAAAATGAGTTGTCATCGTCCAGATAAGGCTTTAAAGAGGCACCACAAGCCCACTGCAACAACTCCTTATACGGTAGAAGTGGGCGGAAGTGGGCTTGGTGTTTCGGAAAAATTGTAGGTGGATGTGTACCCATTGGGCGCGCAAGGGAATGAGAACATGTCGGCCTTACCAGGGCCCAGCCCGGTTCCGATAACTGTGATTGGTGCGGATAGGTTGAAGGATTCACTCCTCATTCTGGATTTCAATTCAGTGGTCGATTACAACACCTTCACCCATTAATTCCATTTATTCTGTTTCATTATTTCTCCTTAATCAATACGCACGCTTTAATGAAAGCGTTTTAAAATAAATCAATTTCCAGACAGAAAAACCAAGAACACAGAAAAGGAAAAAGGGTCATTCCCAGAGATCACTAAATTTATCCATTACAATGAAAAAGAAGAGAATCTGGAGGTTTAGGATAATCCTTGTTTTTACTTACACCGCACCGCACGCACGCTCAAATCGCATAGGACGACCTCGGCGCTTCTTCTAGGCACTCTTTTGATAAGAGCCTTCAGCAAATCGAAGTAGAGAGGAAGCTGCACAATACCGAAGATCAATGCCACAGGGAGGAAAGTAAGTGTATACAGCAGAATGGCTTCGTTGTGAAGACGTTTGATGATCAGAAAGTAGTGCCCCGAACAGAAGGAAACCAACATGGCGATGATAGAAAAGTAAAGGCAGCACAAGCCGATCAGCAATTTCCACGGCAACACTAACCCGAAGTCTTTGATATCGAACCTGGAGGTCATGATGGCTAGAAACATGATGACTGAGGTTGAAGAGAGGCAGAGGGCAATTAGGGAAGAGTAGGAGAAGATTAAAAACCCTTGCTCGTCTCCCAGTTTTGCACCACCATTCTCGTCGTTGCCGCCTGGGATGGTGGCTGCGGTTGCAAAAGCTACTGTTGCAATCAGAGTTGCCACCAGACTGCATGACTCTGAGGTACTGTAAAGCCACGCCCCACCCTTTGTCGCAAGTTCCTTGTGGGTTTCCTGGAAGATTGCACTTGCAGTTTTTCCTTCGTCGTTCCAGTGGGGAAAGAAGTGGAGTGGCACGGACCCCTTCACGTACTGCCAAATTTTCCATTCAACCACCTGTCAGTTTTTTATTTTTTTTTTTATTTTTTTCTTAATAGAAAAGGCTCTGTGTGTGTGTGTGTGTATACATATATATATTGTGAATACTCACGTTATACCACTTAACTTCCCACTGCATCTGCAATGCAGCTCCTGTGATGCGCCAAAGCTTTGGATCTATGGAGGTTGCTGCGAGATGTAAGGCGCTGTTGCCCTTATGATCCACCGCTCGAAACAGGTTTTGTATTTCACTTCTTTTCTTGAGTAAAAACCTGTAGACGTCCGGCTGCCTGTGCTCCGCGGCCAACAGCACCACATTCTTCTTATCTTTCCTAGTATCACGGATTGCCAGCGGAAAACGTTCCAAAATTCCCTTCACAATCTCAATCACTCCATTCTTTGCTGCTAATAACATCGCCGTCTCGGTTGCTGTTGGTATCACAATGTAGTATATATAATTAATGATACATCCAAAAAGCAACAAAATAAGTAACAGAAAAGTAGTGAACCTTCCACGTCTTGGGGCTTCTCTAATTCTTTTGGTTCCTCAATGAAATGACTGAATTGGACCTCATTATCTACAAAGTTGTAAGGAAGCGTAACTCCATTTGCTTCGTCGTTTTGAAATTTGGAATCCATGGGACTTTTTCCATCTTCTGCATATTTGTCGGGCTCAGCCAATTCAAGAAGTTTCTCCATCACTTGAACCGACCAGGTGTGTTTCTCCTTTTTCTTCCGTATCTTTTTGATTTCAATGGATCCTTCATTTAATTTTGGAGAAGCACAATTAATTAGACTCAACCCCACTTGTATTGAGCAACGCATAATACATACCGAACCCAAGAATGATCATGATGGCCGAGAAAGCAATATGAAAAAAATCGATGCAAGTGGTGTAGTTTACGGGGAAGTTTGTAGTTGGGGGATCTGTGGCTGCCATCAACAACAATGAATGTTATGTTTCGTATGAATATAGCTTGAGAGGGTTGAACTGAAGTTGTAAAGCTTGTTGCGTATACATAAACCTGATTCAGTATCCAGAGGTTTCTGTTCTTCCAAGTCTCTGTTCCTCTTGTCTCCATCATTTTTCGTATTATTCTTCTTCTCGTTTCCATCATTTTTCGTGTCATTCTTGTTGTGGCATTTAAATAGCCAGACTGTATGTTTGGGTAGGAGAAAATATTATGTAGGTTGTGAGATTAGTAGGAGAAGGATATATTAAGATAATACGTATACCGACCTGTCAAAATTATATCCTTCATCCCCCTATAAAAGTCGATGCATGTCCGGTAGTTGACGGGAAAAGGGGAAGGAGAAGCTTTCTCTCTTGCTTTTTGCACACTTCGATCCAACTCTTGCTTCAGGCTCTCAATTGATCGAGGCTGTAGTGGTTTCACAAATGAGCCTGAAAACATTTGTAGTACTATGTTACCACCATACCTACATTTAAAGATTACAAACTTTTGGTGAAAAAACTCACAGTGATACACGATGTGCTGCCATCCTTTGATGTGGCTTCCACTTTTGAAGGAAGTTGGCTTACTGGCTAGAACATGGATAGGGGTCAGGCCTGCCTCATTCACCCAGCTTATAGCCTCCTTGTGCATGTTAATTAACTGGAACGCCAAATCTGGCATCTCAACACAATTACTGGACACGGAATTTTAAATTTCAAACTTGGGAAGAGGAGAAAAAAAGAAATGAAAGCTCACCAAAGTGCTCATTTCTGAGGGCGTGATGTAACACGGTGTCTCCATTCGCGCTCACTCTGCAGTTGGCGGAGATTCGAGAGGCGTTGTCACTGCAAAAATTGTAAAGGCAAAAACAGGCGTCCTTGTTGCCATACGCAGCCGCCAAGAACAGAGGTGTTTCGTCGACGTTGTTTCTCATGTCCACCAACCCATTATGCTTTGAAGCAATGGCGTCGCACATTCTTACGCTCCCCATCATTGCAGCAAGGTGGAGAGGATTGTTTCCCCTCTCGTCTGTAGTCTCTAGAACTTTCTTCTTAGTAATTGTGTCTTTGGTGGCTTCGCTTATGTGTTTCACAAGCGTTTCCACCGTTTCTTCTTGATTGTCAATTACAGCCAAATGCAGCGCCGTGTCGCCCCTTCGGTTCAGCTTCAGGTTCTGAGCCCCTTGGTTTTTCTTGTACTCCTTAATCACTTCCTCCCATTGCCCCCTCCTCGCGTATCCATACAAAACTCGTGAGTTTGCAGTGTTCTGATCATTCATTGTCTTCACTTTCTCCGCACCTTCTCCTAGTCTCTTTAAATTTATTAATGCACGCCGCCTTCTTCCCCAATACTGTGCTCTTAGTCCTACAAATATGAAGCACTTATAGCGCTTGGGTTTATCTAAAAATACTAAAGAAACATCAATTGTGTGATAAACGCTTTAGGGTAACGCAAAAATTCTCTTCTTAGGCCACAAGCATTCTTATTGGCTTCAAGTTTGTGCTTTTATGGTGGTGCGCTTTAATGTAGCCTCCAATCTGACGCCCTTCTCATTGGGTTTAGATGAACGCGGTGGGCAGGCTTCGTCGAAGGGCTATTCCTAACAACGTCGGTTTATTAGATTTGAAGATAAGAATTTTGTGAGTCTCGTGTAACCCTGCTTTACTTTTTGCTTTTATAAAAGGGCCAAGCAATAAAAAAAAGAAATATGCAGTAAAAATAAAAGTTAGATGTTCTAAATTGCTTTTAACAACATATATAATCCACACTCTTCTCTTTTATACCTCACCTTTTTCCTTTTTCCTTTTTCTTTTTCTTTTTCCTTTTCTTTTTCTTCTTCTTCTTTGCCTAAATATGGGTTTAAATTTCATAGTTGTCCATTTTGATTCATTTTTCATTTTTTATCTTTGTAGTGTGATATCTGTTTGCCCTATTTAGTAAAAGCTTGTTTTTTCAAGGTTGGGTTGTTCATGAGCATGATGAAGCAAATCGGAATGATGAATGATGAATGATGAACGATGAATGATTAATGATTAAGGATAGAATTTCAGAGGAGGTGAGGTTTGTGATAAAAGTGTTGGTACTTTAGTTGGTTGATAATTTAAGAAACTCCAAAATAGAATTAGTTGGTTGATAATTTAAGAAACTCCAAAATAGAATTTGCTTTGCTTTACTTTACTTTACTTCCTTCGCTGTTAAAGATTGCAAACTTTGAGGACATATATATCTTAAGCTGTTAAAGATTGCAAACTTTGTGGACATAATATATCTTAAGCTGTTAAAGATACCAAATTTATTGAAACCAAAACACATAATCTTTCATATTTTAAAAACCAAGCCTCAGAAGGAATCAAGAAGTACAGTTCCGCATAACTTGGAAACTACAAATTGACTCTCAACAACAGAGCCTACGGGTATGTTGGAGGGTTGGAGGTCCAGGTAGGTCTGAATCTCAGACTCTCGGATGCTGAATTTGGTCCCGGGCACAGGCTCCAACCCAATCACCCCTGAAAGTGGATTCCAAGGGCGGTCGTAGCCTAAAGCTAACGACCATGATTTTGGTTCCCCTCCTTCTGACGGATCCACCACTCCTGATAGCCTTTCCTCCACCATTTCTCGGTCTGACGCATCCCAAGTTTTAAATTGTCGTGTTTTGTTCATTTCACTCCTTGTTGCCTCCGCACTCATCTACCAATCATTTAGTTCAACGTACAAAATAGGATAATAATCCAAAATCAAATCATACTCATCGTAGACAACGTACCTGTAGTGGCCAAACTATAACCAACCCTTGTGAAGCTATAAGCTGGAGGAAATGGGAGTAGTCGTATTCGGCGCAGCCAGGAAGGAAGAAGAGGAGAGGATACGAACCTTGGGCGGTGGGCGTGAGGATCAACAATGGGTTTGAAGGTGAAAAGGCGTCAGAATCCTCCACAGGGATCGACGTTACCTCAAATTTTCCTTTTTGGAAAGGTTTAATGGAAGGAGTGTGGGGCGGTAGCGGATCAGATAGGACGACATGGGCGCTCCTGTTGGGCACTATTTTGAAAATAGCCTGCACCACATCTATGTAGAGAGGAAGCTTGGATATAATGAAGATTAATGCGACGGGGACAAGAACAATGGTGTAGAGCAAAGCAGCGTGATGTGGAATGTGTTGATGCATCAGAAAGTAGTGGCCCGCACAAAAGGAAACCAACATGGAGATGATGGAACCGAAAAGCGAGGAAAAGCCGATGAAGAGTTTCCAAGGCAAGTTTGTTCTGAAGTCATTGGCGTCAAAGCGATAGGTGAGGATGGCAAGAAACATGGTGACTGAGGTTGAAGAGAGGCAGAGGGCGATGAGGGAAAAAAGGGCGAACGTAAAAAAGGCTTTCCGATCTTTAAGGAATGGGGAGCCGTCGTGGGGGTTAAACCCACCTGGGATGCTGGCAACGGAAGTAAAAGCTACGGTTACAATCAGGGTACCCACCACAGAGCAGGACTTGGAGGTCTTAGTCAGCCACTCTCCGCTTTTTTTCACCAGATCCATGTGGGTTTCATGGAAGATTGCGGTTGCATTCTTTCCTTCCTTGTTATAGTGGGCAAAGAAGTAGAGCGGCACAGACTCCTCGACGAACTGCCCACAACATTTTCAATTGTTTTCATCAAATCTACCTCTCTAAGACTGTACAATATATTGGTTAACAATTAATAATATTACCTTATACCACTTAATTTCCCATTGCATCTGCAGCGCAGCTCCGGTGATGCGCCAAATCATGGACTTTGAGGCGGCGGCTGCCAGATGCAACGCACTGTTCCCATTATCATCCACGGCTCGAAACAGGTTTTCTTTGTAAACTTTGGGGCTGAGTAAAAATCTGTAGACGTCCGGCTGTCCATACTCGGCAGCCAATAGCACCACATTCTTCTTATCTTTCCGAGCATCACAGATGGACAACGGAAAACGATGGAACATTCCCTTCACAATCTCGATCACTCCATTCTTTGCTGCTAATAACATTGCTGTCTCTGGTGCTGTTCATATAATCACAAACAAACTATTTAATCAATCAACCAAAATAGCTACATATATAAATAAAGAAATAGTAAACCTTGGACATTCTTTGGCTTCTCTGCTTCTTTTGGTTTACTCTCAATGCTATTACTGAGCCGGACTTCACCAGCTACTAAGGAGTAAGGAAGCGTAACTTCAGCTTGGTCGGGTGTTTGAGAAGTTGAATCCATGGGAGTTCCTCCGTTGCACTCATATTCATCGGGTGGAGCATATTCAAGAAGCTTCTCCATCACTTGAACTGACCAAGTGTGTTTCTCTTTCTTCCTCCGTATCTTTTTGAATTCAGCAGATCCTTGAATTAGTTAATTCAAGAACTCATCAGCATTCATTTCAGCACACCCTTAAATTAGTTCACTGCTGGAGTATTGAGAAAACAGTAATGCATAGTACGTACCCAACCCAAGACTGATCATGATGGCCGAGAAAACAATTTGAAAAAAGTGGATGCAGGTATTATAGTTTCGGGGGACATTTGTAATTGAGGCCTCCTTCGCTGCCATGAACAAGAATGAGTATTTTGTTATAGTTTATAAAACTAAGGGACTTAGCACCTCATTGCTTATAGCTATACCCAATCCATGAGCTTTAAGAAGTTCAGTATCCAGACGTTGGTGGGATTCATCAGTCTCCAAACTTTCACCACCTTCCACCATAATATTTCTCACCACTTGTGTATCCTTCTTCGATTCATCATTTTCGTTATCGTGGCATATTCGTTTCAAACCGCTGCCTGCAATGTTTGCATAAGAATGAAAGAATTGGGGTATGAAATTAGGAAGGTTTATTTGGTTGGTACGAACCTTTTAAAAATCCATCCCACACCCATGTGAAGAAGTCGATGCATGTCCCGTAGTTAGCTGGAAAACAGGGGGTAGAAGTGTTTGGGTTGGACATACGGTCGATCCAGTCTCTGATTAGGGAGTCTATTGGTTGAGGCTTTAGTTGATCCACATGTGTGCCTTCCTTCCAATAATCAAGTTTTAATAAGGGGAGATTAAAGGGAGTTTGAAATGGAAGTTTTGGTGGGACACTCACAGTAATACGCGATGTTCCGCCATCCCCTGATTTGGCTTCCGCTTTTGAAGGCTGTTGGCTTACTCGCTAGAACATGGAGAGGCGTAATGCCTGTCTCGGTCACCCAGTGCATGGCCTCATTGTTCAGGTGCAGTATTTGAAATGCCAAATCTGTGGCTCAACTTCTGAATCTTCTCAAAATCAAACTCAACCAAGCTGAAAGTGAGTGGAGAATAATGTAGTAAAAAAGCTCACCAAAGTGATCGTTTCGGAGGGCTGAATGTAGCACGGTGTCCCCATTGCTCGTCAATCTACAGTTGGCGGTGATTCGAGAGGCGTTGTTTCTGCAAAAATGGTAAAGGCAAAAAAAGGCGTCCCTGTTGCCAGACGCAGCCGCCAAGTACAGAGGTGTTTCGTCCACTTTGTTTCTCAGATCTACCAACTCGTCATGGGCTGAAGCAATGGCGTTGCACATTGTGGCGCTCCCCATCTGCGCAGCAAGGTGGAGAGGAGTTTCTTCCCTGTCATTTGTAGTCTTAAGAAGTTCATCGTACTTACTGGTGTGTTTTATGCGGTTCACAAGCTTTTGCACCACTTCTTCCCGATTGTCAAGAACAGCCAAATGCAGCGCGGTGTCGCCATTTCGGGTCAGCTTCAACTCTTGAGCTTCTGGGTATTCCTCATACTTCTTAATTACTTCCTCCCATTTCCCTCTCTTCGTGTTTGTGTAAAGAAAATCTCGTAAAATTTCTTTCTGCTTCTGATGCATACTCTCCTCCTTAATACTGAACGTATGCACACAGTCTCCACAAATATGGTGTCCTTTATATATAAAATATGGCATCTCATCTCTCTTCCAAAACACATATCAAATGTGTGTATAATCTTCCTTTAAGCTACCAAAAATATTCTCTTCTTCAACCACAAGCATTTCTTTTCTCTGTCTTTTGCTTTATCTGGTGTTGTTAGGAGACATATAATTCTCTTTAAAACTGGAATATAATAAGAACTACTGCATATAAGCGTCTGAGTTGATTTGAATTACTGCATCAACTAGCTTGCTTAGCTTATCACAAACCATATATACATTTTTCATATCCGCCAGCAAAAATTGGACTAAACAATTGGTTGAAAGAGGCGTGGATTTTGTTTGAATTGATGAGTTATGTGTGAATTTGCAAGTAGATACACTGCCACAATTGATGAGTTAATGATCGTTGAAACCAAAAAACAATGGTTTTTATTGGGATTTGCTGCCACAACTGATTCACATCTCCCTACCTCCCTCCCTCCTGTGTACACTCAAACCAACCACTTTCATCGATCTAATATCTGCTCTTTGAATCAGCTACCATGGAAAGGAGCCTTGCAACACCTTGTGTCCACTGATCGTACTCTCTCTGGCTCCTGCACTCGAACTCAACTATGCCTCGCATTTCTGTCTTCAACCCAAAGTAACGCCGCTTCTCTCCGCCCTCGAACAAGTGTCGTCCTGGCCATGCTGCCACGTCCTTGCATACGCCCACCACCACATCTGCACTCCCGACAACAACAACAACAATCAATATTCTAATTCCCGAGATGTTACAATCAATATTCACTCATCACTTACTCTTCTTCTTTTTGGTCAGTGTTCCTGCAACGTGTTTGCTCTTCATCTTCAGCATCACCTGCCCACTGCGGTGAATGTAAACACACACTATTTTCCAGTGAAGATCCCCTGCATCATTACCAACTCAAACCCATTACACCAATGTGTTATTTCCATATGGGAAGTAAGTGTTCACAAAATCAGCTCGGAAAGAACACCTTTGCGCGTGCGCTTGAGAAGCTCGGTGCCTCTTGCAAGCAGATCTTGGGTGTGGGCGAAGTGGAAATTCTCAGGTTGGTGAGGCTCTGCCTCTTGGTTATGACCGCCGTTTGTATGCTGCATGTTGCCTTTCGTTGCTGCTCCTTTGTCCACTGGTAACACAGATGATATATTCCATACTTCCTTTAGTGCTCTTGCCTTGAGTGTTGCTGCTCCCCGTAGAGCTACAAAAAAACAAAGATAAATTATTCGGATTCATTTTCAATAAATTCCTTTCTTCCCATTAACACTTCATTAATGCCCTACCTGTGGCTGCCGCAGCGGTAAGAGTAGAGATATCATCATGGGATCTAACGTTGACAGCAGAGCTAATGACCGAAGCAAGGTGGTCTCTTTCGGCCCCCATTGCCTCCGCCGCCTCCACACACTGAGCAGCGACCAAGGTAGCGGCCGAGGCCACCGCCATATCCGTCTTAGCCGACTGCTCGTTCTTCTTTGTCGAGGAAGAAGCAGCTTGGAAAGCTGCAATAGCGGCCACCGCAGCTGCCACTGCAGCAACCGAAACAGCGGCGTGGAGTTGGGCATTGTGGGCTCTGTTCTCTTCTTTTTTCTTCTCTTTTCTGTCCTTCAGCCACCTGCCCACCGTCTTCGAGGCTCCGCCGGCTGTTCCAGCGACATTTCCGGCACTTGCACGGCCGTTGGTGAAAAAGGGCTGAATGCTGTGATTTGCTCGAAAGAACTGCAAATAGAGGAAGATCGAAGATAGTCAATGAAAATGAATGTAGTGTTTAGTGTGAAGCTGAAAGCCATTATTTATGCAACCATTAATAGAAGTAGGCCACAGCAGGCAAAGAAAGGGAGCCACACACAAAGTGGCAGCCTCCAAGATGATGGAAAGAAACGGATACGGTAAAAGTAAAACCATGGATTTACTCTTTCTTTTTCTTTTTACCCCACCGCAACATCCTTGGCTGAACTGCTTTTATTAACCGTCGCAGGTAACTCTACGAAGGAACAATCCAACCAAGTATGCTTTTATATTTTAAAAATATTTCTTTCTTGGCGTTCTTTAGAAAGATGATGCAATTTAAATTATTTTTCCTTTCTTTTTTGAATATTTTATTTAGTTGTTGAATTCATCTATCTTTACAAAAAGCTGGGAATTAAAAGCAAAATTTTGAAGTATAACACCAAAAATAAAGTAAAATTACACGAGTTTATGGAAGTTCACACCATGATTTTACCACTAGAAATTAAAAATTTAAAATTAAACTTCCGTAAAGACCCATTATTTTAAAGTATTTTCTCGAGAAAAGGAAAATAAATGCAACTTCAGAGAAGAACAAAAAAGCTGCAGGCGACTTGCCTTAGAACACACTGCAGACAGAGTGTGAAACAGAAGGCTGCTAGTAACAGAGGAAACAGAGTAGTTGTCTCCTAAATTCGAAATTTAAGAGAGATTTGTTTGTTACCTTAACGACGTCGTCGAATTCCTCCGAAGGCGACACCGGCGGGCTGTCTGTTTCCGTCAAAGACCCGCCGTTCAAAGGCCCACTGCTGTGTGAAAGCCTCCCGGACGTCAACGGCGACACCTCCTGCCAAAAACAAAACAAACCCAAAATTCTAATCAACAAACTTCAGAAACCCAAGCCCACTGGCGGATTGTGCTTCAAATTCTATGACCTCTCTGACGGATTGTGACATTATGCGATCAAGCACCAGCTGAGACGTGGCGGTAGAAGAAAAAGAGAAGTGGTTTCCGTTCCCATGATGAATAGGGAACTCCTCGAACTCGCCGGAGACGTCTTCGGGAATAGACGACGTGGTACAGGATGACCCACTGGCGGATTTTGAAGGTAAATGCATAGGCATTGAAGGAGGAGGGGGTGCCAGAGCCTTGGAGACTTCGAGGGCTGAGGCACTCCATGAGCGAGAGAGGAACTCCATCGGAGCTCTTGGGCTTTCTGGTAAGTGAGTTCTACAGGGTTTCAAGGAGTAAGAATCGTCCATTAAAGTAGTAGTGGTTGAATGGTGAAGCTGAAGAGGGGTTTTGTTTGTGTTTTTTTGGGCGTTGAATGAGGAACAGAGAGTTTGATGAAGAGAGAGCGGTGTTGGGTTTGGGTTTGGGTTTGGGTTTTATGCTTTGCCTTGCCCTCAACCCTTTTATTAACAGACCTTTTAATCGGTGTGTGTATGGTGAAGCAGTGAATGCATGTGGACCACACCTTAGTCAAATTTTGCATGTGCCTCAAAGGAAAAGATATAGCAGAGGCAATTTAACGCCCAAAAAAGAAACAAGAAGAATTGAGGGATTAAGAGAGGGAGGATTGGTGAGGGTGGAGGAGTTCATCAGCCTGCCTTGTTCCTTTAGAAAAAGAAAAAGTGAAAGGTCAAATGCACGCATCCCTAAGAGTCTTTGGCAAGTCAAAAAGTGAAGTGGCTCCCCTCTATGCTATATACTATTATACACACTCCCATTCCTTCCATACCTTCCTTTCATTGCCAATCATACTAATTACTGATTAATAATGTAATATAGATACACAAAAGAGATGGAAAGTGTTCTTTAAATGGAATAAAGTGAAGATTAAAACAACTAAACACAACACTTCGGCAATCTAATCACACTGTGAATCCTTTTGAAAGAAAGAAAGAACAGGAATAATGTTGAGATGATGATCAAGTTGACCCATCAAACTGGATTTCTCAATTAAAATGAGTGAAATTCTGTTGTTTTCTTTCTGATTGGCTTTTTTCTTCCAATGTTTGAATTGAATGAAGGGGTGAAGGAATAGTGGGAGGAAAGGAAGGAGCCCAGTTGAATACAAACACATCCCATCACCTCCTCTGCTGCAACTTTGGCCTACTTCTCTGAAATGGGCCCATACATCATCAACCTCTGCTAGTGTTAGTGACTTGAGCAACTGATCCCATTGCATTTTCCCTACATTGTCATAGGTCTTGCCAATGTCCTAACCCGACATGTTTTCAGGTTAAGACAAAAATGTGGCTGATCCAAAGGCTCCCACTATTCTTCAGCCTTTGAATGACAAAGCTGTTGCAAATGGAGAGTGGAGAGTGACTTATGCTACTCTGCGCGTGCCTGCTTTACCATCTTCATCATCTGTGTTTCATTATTTTATGGCCCTCAAACAGATCAAGCACAGATGAAAGAAGAGTGAGAGATATGGAAAATGGGCACAGTTTTTCTTTCTCATTTCTTTACTTTTGAACAAAAAGGAAACACCTTTATTCCTTTTGCCTCATTTTCTCTATGCTCATCAACACATTTCTTCCTATTGCATTGTTTTGTTGCTCTTTTGTGTTATTTGACATTTTCACTCTGTCATCTATTTATTTGTTTTCATCTAATTGGCTTCGCTGGGAGGCTATGACTGCCTAGACTGCTCTATATAGAACATGACTGTTCATAATTCAGCTGCGAAAATCCCGAGAAAGAATTTCCTTCTTTTCCTTCCGATCAAGGCTTGTAATCAATTAAGTTTCTCAAACATTCTTTTTGTCCTCTTATTGGCTTTTTAAGTGGGAATTAATCATTCGTTGGTACTTTGCGTACACAACTTGGAACCAACTTTGGCATTGATTTCCTGACGTTTTTCCTGTAACCAAATTTCCTTCATGGAAAGAGGAAGCCATAAGCTCTGAAGCCGTGCTATCATTTCATGGTTTCATACAAGTGTATACCAGAACTTGCTTAGTCATGTCATATGTTGTTTGTGACTATTTCTGATACGTATATTCCATTTAAAGATTGCTGTTCTTGAAGCTGTTTACCCCACAGAATCAAATGGTAGTTTTGGGTTAAGAAAGGTTGCAACAACAAGCCAATATCTTCGAATCTTTCAAACAGTAAGAACCAGCAATTACTGAAGCAGCCGTTGTGACAACAGAAATGAAGTTATGGTTCTACTATTGCGGTTGGAAAAGGGGCACTGTACAGCCAATCCTACGTTTCACTTTCAAAGCTCTAACTTTAAATCTAGAATCTTATGGCCAGCAATGGTGATGACGACCAGAGTTGTTTGAAAATGAGCAGTTGTTTGAATGGTGATGACGTCTCTGTGGAGTGAGAAAGAGGGAGTCTGCAAAAGAAGCCAAAGTGAGGTCTGCAACTCTGTCCATATTATCGGAATTAAGAGAAACATTCTGAGATTCCAATCGCTGAATGAAACCAGAAATAGGTGGAAGGGCGTGGTATATACAGCAGCCTTTTTATTACAGTGGATGAGTGCAAGAGATAATTCATTCACTGCGAGGATCCCAAGAAGAAATATGAAAGCTTGTATGCCGAAGCATGCCAAGCAAGGAAAATTCCATTACAAATGGTGTTGATTCAAGAGTGTAGTGGTGTGGTTAAAGAAGTAAAGAAAACACACAAAAAGTTACCATGTGGTCCTCGGCTGGAAGAAGAGCTGGGGCATCTTCTTTGGTTCCAGAAACAAGAGGATTGTGGCAGGGCTATTTGATCTTCAAGGACATGAATGATTAAGCTGCGATTTGAAGTGCTAAGTAATTCGTAGAGATAAATGAGAGAAAGATTAAGAGTTCACTGCAAGGAGGCAACATCACATTTTAGGGCCGTCTTCTAATGATCGATTTTGATCGTAGTGCTCTGTTTTCTTTAACAGTACGTTTGTTTATCAAAATCTTCCTTTTTGGTAGTCTACATCTTGAAAAAGTTGTTAGAATCTTGATTCAAATAAAGAAACTAGAAAAGTAGTTTTCAAAAAATTTCAAAAGTGATATTGAAAAGTAGAAATCAAAGCAAATGACTCGGGAAAGAAAGCTTGAAAGAAGATAATTATGAAGCAGGACCCAAGAACACAAAATCTTAAGAAGGAAAAGAGGATGAATTAAATATACATGTATGTTGTTTTTAGATCAGGAAGCTCTTGACCAAATTCCTTTACTTGGTTGGATTTGTGACTCTTGAACAAAATAAAAAAAATAAAAACAAAACTAGCCCTTTTTGTATCGGGTTACAGGAAATACACAAGATTCCATCCATAGCTCCTAAAACTGGGTTGCCTTGGGATGGATGCCTCTTGTCTCCTTGCAGTTGGGGAATCTGCTCTCAAGTCGACACTCTTTGGTGTATTGCAATTTTATTAACTTTGAAAGGCGGGTTGAGGGACATGTTCCCCTTTACTGTAGATGCCTTTCACATCAGTTCTAAAGGTTCGGTGGCTCAAAATACTTGCTTTGTCAAAAGGCCTCGTTCTTTAGAGCTGGCCTTGTTGTGTTCATAGATACATACATATCTACAACTCTTCTCTTCTTCCAAATAATATTATTTCATTTCAGTTTTTGACTCTAGAGCAAAGGCATAGATGAGTAGGTAAACACTAGGAACGTCTCATGTATAATTGAATATGTTAAACTTCTAATGAGTTTGAAAGATCTGCTGCTCTCTTTCATTATAATGGAAAGGTTAACTAATGTTCTTATTATAGCGATAGCAAAAAAATATATAGAATATCATCGACATTCTAGTTTAGATGGTGGCTTGAAATTTACAGGATGTTCTGAAAACTAAAGAAAAAGTGTGTGAAAAAGAAGTAAAGACGAGTATTTGGAATATTTAGAGACTTTGATTTTCAGTTATGTAAATTATGCTGATTACCTACCAACGAAGTTGAATAGCTCCATTCACCTGTTGTCGGACTTGGAGACATGGTGGCGTGCATGCATCCACAGAATGCACCTTTCTTCTGCTTATTCTTGCTTCTAATGCTACCATAAAGATAATCCTGCAACCGAATTTTGGGTCGTTCAATGATCCTGCTCCTACTCTTGTTTCCTTTATCTTCATCTTGTTTCAGTAGCAGAAACTGTAATCTCTGCACCTCAAGTTGTAGCTGCCCAATTTTTTTGGACCCTCTTCTCGCTTGTGCTGAAATTATTCTTTTGCGGACATTTCCAGTTTCATCAGATACAATGGTGGATGCTCCATCGGAGGACAGGGTACCATCTTGTACATTCTTCATCAGTTTGCAATTTGCATTAAACAGCTTCATAACAGCAGCCTCCACTTCTTCGAGTTGCTCTTTCATGGTGTCATACTCCGCAGCATCATTGCCTCTACTCTGCTTTGAAAGCACAATCCGCATTAAATCTTGAACAGTTATTTGGAGGTTTGTCAATTTCTGCATGTCAGAATCAAGTCTTTCAAGAAGCTTCCTCTCTTTTCGTTTGTGGAGGGGAACTGACAATCTACTCGAGGTCTCTAATATGTCCACTCCAACCTCTTTCTCGACCAATGAATCAGTGGAGTGACGCTTATTCTGTTCCTTGACTACTACAAATCTGTTATAGTTAGTTGAGGAAGCGGCCATGTTGGGGGATTTGCAAACCATAAGATCAATGCCGCCATCCTCATCAGTTGCCTCCCATAACTCTACCATCTGGTTGTAAGCACCTAAATTCTCTCCTCTCTTTTCAGGCCCCTCACAACACTTGGCTATTTGATCAAGAATGATGTCCTTCGTCAATATTTCACCACTAACTTCTAACACTTTTGTCTTCGACCTCTGCAATTCATTTCCAAGTTCAATTTCTCTTCTTGGAGTAGTTGGCCTTGTCTGCTCATTATCTCTCACCCAACTATTTCCATACGTCGCTTCCTCAACCCTTTTCATTAATGTCTCTTGTTTTCTAGTAGAATTCAAGTTTTCCAGAGTCTCAAGTTTCACTTTTTCTATCACACCCATTTCCACAGCCTGGATTCTTCTATGTAAATCCTTCAATTCAAAACATCCATTGTGCAGTGTTGCAATCAGCTCGTGATATTTTTGCTGGTAACATTCAGAATGCGGGTGATTTACTGAATCCATATCCTGCGGCAAACAGAGTGAGTATAAGTTGCATACCAAGAAATAAAATAAAATAAAATAGCGCAAGAAAGCATATGACATCATAGACAGTGGCACGATATTTCCAATTTAGTAAGGTTTCAACTATATCTTGTTCCAGTTCACTGATGATTTGAATCAAGGAGTACACACTTCAAATCCAAACTAAAAACCAATTAAAGATTTCTGAAATTATTAGTTTGAGTTCATAGTGAGCTGATAACACCAAGCTGTTAAGAAAGTAAATATTTCTCAAGTACGTAACAACCTCTGGAGTTTTTCAAGCAACTAGCAAGTTCTCCAAACAAAAATGGAGTACAGCCACCCAGCATTTGTAAGCAGACAATATAATTACCTTTACGTCTTGTTTCACATATTTGTGAGTTTTTCTGTTCAGACGAGTATGATTCTCCAGATAGGTTACAGAATCGTTCAACAATGTGACTGCTGATGTATATTTGGTCAAATGAAATCCTAGTTCCCCATTTAGATCGGTCATGTTGTTAGTTCTCTCTCTCAGACTCTCAGTCTTCACATCTCTGTAATTACTTCTACTTTCGAGGTTCACGTATGCTTCGCCAAGCTCAAGAAGCTTTCCCTTGAATAATATTTCATGAACAGTTGAGATTTGGAGCTCAGCAAACAGTTGAGCAGCCTGAGTCTCACATATCTCAACCTCCATTCTCTTCTTCACTAGCTTGCCCCTCAATCGTTTCTCCCTACATTTATGCCGCTTGACATCTTCTTGCTTTTTTCCAAGTTCCATGTCCAAAGTACAGTTTAGTTCCCGCAGAGATGCTATCTCTTTGGATAGATGTTTGCTATCACCAGATAGTTTTACAAGTATGTTCTCTTTCTCTTTTATGATCGCTTTAGCCTCTTCACTCATAATGGTAAGTTCCTCCATCCTCTTATGCAACTCCGACTTCTCATTCTGTATCATGATCAGAATCTGTTCAGCTTCCAAAAACTCATGCTCTGACCTCTCTAATGACTTCCTGAGGTGCAAGTTTTTCAATTGTACATCTTCCAGATTGCCTTCCAATAATCCAACTTTGTCTTCAAGATCATTATTCAAGCAGTGAAGCTTTTCCAGATTTTCAGCAAGTTGTTTTCGTTCAAGATTTGCATCAGAAAGTGAACTCTCTAGAAGAGTGTTTTTCTCCAACAGTCTCTCTAAGTTATCGGTTACCATCTGCAACCGAGAAGACAGGACGGTCGTCTCAGACACAAGAGTGGTTTTCTCTCCTAAGAGAAGTTGACAGCATTCTTCCAATACCTTTACCTGCATTCGTTGGCTTTCTAATTCAATATGTAAATCTGAGATAGTATTCTCTAGCAGAGAATTTTTGTGGCACTGTTCTTCCATGACTTTCAATTTCTCCAAAAGAGCTGAATTTTCTCTCTTTTCCACCTCAATTTTTTCCATCATCTTTGACTTCTCAACATGTAGTTCTTTCACGGATGATCCAAAGCTCTCCGGAGCAAAACCAAGAGACTCGATCTGCTGCAACATAATCAAATTCTTCTCTTTGAGTTCACTAAGCTCTTCTTTTAGGCATAAAATTTGAATCTCAAGAGCATTCTTCTGGTTCAGTTGAAACTCAAGACTTGCTTCTAGCTTTTCCATATTTGTAGACATATTTGACATCTCATCCCTCAAACAGTTTATAGACAACTCTGAAGACAAGTTAAGGTTCTTCAGGATCCTTTTTTCCTCCTCAATCTTCTGTACTTCATCCTCTAGAACCTGATTTCGAGTTTCCATCTCCTTCAAGATTTGAACCTGAATCTGGCTATCTTCAGCCATTGAACTGATTTCTTCCTGAGATTTAGAATGCTGTTCTTGTAATCTTCTGAAAGCCGTTTCATTCTCTGCATATCTCAAACGCTCTTCCTGTATACAACCCCAGAGCCTTCCTAATTCCTTCTGCTTCTCTATTAATTCTACACTTTGTGAGCCTATCTTCTGCACCATAGAGTCCATCTCAGATTGAAGAATTTGGTTTGATTTCTGTAAATGAAGGCACCTTTCATTCGCACTGTTCAACTTTGCAACTCCATTAGCCTTTTCATCCTGTAGCCTTCCTAGCTCCTCTTGGGCATTACAGATTTGATGCTCCAGAGCAGCAATCTTCTCTGTGCAAAGATGATGCCTGAGACCAGCAGCTTTAGTTTCTTCAACTAATTGGGTGAGCGCTTCCCTAATAGTTAAGACTTCAGTTTGAGCTTCGTCAGCTTGCACCTTGTACCTCCTGGCATCCTCTTCTGCATGCACTACTCTTTCCTCTAGGTTTAAAATTATATCAGAGGACTCCCTGTATTGGGCAAGGGCAGCTTCTCTTTGAAACTCAACTCTTGAAATTTCCCACTTTAGTCTTTCAACTTCAATTTCGGCTTTACTTGCTCTCTCGCTGCTTTCTACACTCTTTTGAACACACATAATGCTGTCTTGTAGAGTACATAACTTATCTAAACATTGCTGGTATCTTAAAAGACTGCTTTCTCTTTCACTCTCTATCTTCGCAAGGGACTCTTTCAAAGCCAAGACCTCAGTCTCTGCCTTACCAGCTCGTTCATTTAAACTCCTCGAATCCTCTTGCGTACGACAGACTTCGAACTCTAATTTGGACAACCTCTGTAGGCTGCCATTATACTGAAGTAAACCTGCATCCTTTTCAGCTTCTAATTTAGCAAGACAATTCTTTAAGGATAAGATTTCAGTCTCAGCTCTGTCCACCCTCCTTTCAGACTCAACGTATACTTGTTTCTTAACATCATGGCTGCCATTATTTTGTATGTTCTCTTCTTTGGGATCCAGATCATGAAAATTGAGACCTTTTCTAGGCGTCCCATCTTCAAACTTCGAAAGGTTCTTGACTGCTCCTGAATTAAACAATTCATTAAGATGCTTCAACCACTTCTCCCTTGTCATCAAATTCGAGCCTTTGCTGGAAACTTGATTTCTTTCCCCAAGGCCAACATGAAACGATGGTAAGTCCAAATCATCCGGTTCCACAGCATCCAAATCAGAGGAGGTGGATTTCTGAGGCGTACGAAAATTAGCATGAGAAGCAGCAGGACTGTCGTCAGGGAGAAGAATGGATATGTGATTAGGAAAAGCTTCAGCCATTGTTCGATGAGCCTGGTGAAATACTACTGTTACGTGATCGTATCGTTCCGCCAATGCTCGGTATGCTCGGTAGAAGTCTTCGACTAATTTCATAAGCTCCGGACGCTTTTTATAATACATCTCAGCCCTCTTTGCAAACGAATCTGCATCTTCTTCAATAAGCTTGATCATCTGTTTGATTTTTTCATCCATGTCTGTAACCAAAAAAAGATATTTTTTCATCCAGGACTGCCAAGGACAAGGCCATAGAACACAAAAACGACAAAAGGAAACCAAACCATGGGGCAGTTGAAAGTATATGTTTAGATAAGAAATTTTCAGTTAGAGGGACAACAAAAGACCCACCTGAAAGATTTTCTTGAAGCCATTTAGAGGTCTTGGGGCTAATGTGGCTATCCCACCACCAAGAATACGAACGCTTGGAATCTGCAGCCGAGGGGGTCTCCATGGCTTCCTCACCTCACGCCCTCCACCACTCTTATGTCTCAACCCAGATGGAAATTTTGACCCAAAGTCCTACAAATGTGAACCTCAACCATTCGAGCCCAAGAATATAGGAACCTGGATCAAACCATTGTCTGTGGCCGCCTTATTATCTGAAGCAAGTTTTGAAAAGAATGAAACCCCAGAGCTTATCTTTTTCCATACTCAACTCAGAAGAAAGTTGGAGGTGAGGAATGAAACGTTGAAGATGAGAGAGAAGTGAGAATGTCCAAAAAAGTGGAAAAGAGAGTGATAAGTACCTGATGAAGATGATGGGTATTGTTCATTACCCTTCTTCCACTCAGTTGTTTGTGTAATCTACCTGATTTGAAACCAGCATTATGGGAAAACATAAGAAATGAAGGTTGGGAGAGGAGAATGAAGCGTTAAGTGGTAGAGAGAAATAATGGAGGATCAAAGAAGTTACCGAAAAGGAAGGTGGGGACTTAATTCTGGAATGGTTACGGCTGCTTTTGCTTTCCCTTTCATTCCACCATGTTTATTGGATTTCCTTGCTTTTTATGCAGTCTGCTATAAATATTTCAGCTTTTGCAAACACCACCGTTGAGGGCAAAAATTGGAAGCAAGGTGTCCACTTTTACTCCTTTACACAGAGTAATCAATCGCACATCAATTCCTTCATTCTTACTCAAATTTTATTGCTCAAAGCAGAAGGGGAAAAAAAAAAAGAATTTTGGGAGTAGCTTTGACATCGGAACGTGGGATGCAATGGAAATACAAATAAGGCGCCTGCGTATGATTAAAGTGTGAAGAGAGGTGGAATAATTATCAATTATTCTCCTCATTCCCTTCTTTCTCTTCCCTCACCCCTGCACACTTCACATTTCACTCAAATTTCACCGTTTACAGATTCTTTCATTGGCCTCTAAACAATTTGATTTGCTATTAAACTCCATGTTTTCAGCCAAAATTTAATTTACACATTGATTGGAGAGTGATCATCGCCAAATCATCCTAATTTTTCCATATAACAAAAACAAATCATCTTATATTCTATCGAGTTACTTTAAGATATTGTGAAATGCGTACAATAATTTTACCATTAATGTAAATTAAACACTTTTTCAATTTCACAAATCTAGCCTAAAAGATATATGGGTATCGCTTATTTAAATTTGAGAGAGAGGGAATTACCTAGTTAAAATGGCGTCATTTTGGGATAGCCCTTTGATGATAATTTTTGGACAAGCATTGAAAGCTGAGCACAAATCACATGGTTTTGATGTCTTTTCTTTACATCCAATTGACCAAATGATGTCATTTTGGATTGTCATTATCCCGTTAGGTCAAAACGTAGTCATTTTGACTAGAAAATTCTCTTATATTCATCCTAGTTTTGCAACGACATATTGTTGGACAGGTATGGTTCTTGGATTTTCTCTAGCTCTCACTTTAGTTTTTTTTTTTTTTTGTATGGGAAGGTTGTTGGAGTCTATATTGGCTAACTAAAAATAGAATCCTAGATTTGATCCATAAGCAAAAAAGTTGATGATCATAGAAGAAGATGGGCATCAACATGAAGTACTAGTGACGATGGCTGAGAGGTGGCTACCGACGACCAACACTAGGGCGCGAGGAAGGTGAGACAACATAATATAGCTTCCCCATTGTGAATAATGATGATGGGAACTCATTCATTCATTTTCATTATCTATTCCACCTTTCATTACAATCTGTCTCCTCATAACTTAGTTGCCCTAATAATCACATCAAACCCTCTTTCCTACACAATTTCATCACCTAAATAAAACCATCCTTCGTTGGAGCTAAACCACCTGCTTCCAATGCTTCCACTTCAAACGGACAAATATCCTTATTTTTCTGATGCGGACAAAGAAAAACACGCCATTTTCTTCTATTCGCATGATGCTGTTTAGGAATAGTATAAAGTTAAAAGCATGCAGGAAGGACACTCAAGTATTTGACTTTTCCGGTCGGATGTCTGTTCTTTACCCTTCCTTCCCTTGTCTCCCATCGTAGCCTTTTTACCTTTTTTTTTTCTTCTCAATCTTCTAATTGGGCCTAAAAGAAAGGCCCAAATTTGAGCCCAATGAGCCTGAGCTTTAACTCCGTCTAAACCAGTGAACCACTCGTGTACTCCCTTGCTCCCCAAAGCCTGTGCCGTTTGTTGTGCAGACATCGTCGGCGTTGTGGTCTCTCGCGAGTCGCCACCTGTTAAATTTTCCGTCAGCGTTGGCTGCCAAAACCATCTCACATCGCCATATTTTGCTTCACTCCACCAGCCAGGTGTTCGGATAATTGGAAATATGGCGACCCATTTCGCAGCCCAAATTAGGGGTTGGGATTGTTGCTTTGCTAGGGTTCGGGGGAAGGTGAGGAACTATGGAGGTGTGGTGCAGATCAGGGTGTCAGATGTTGTGGTTGAGGACGACCCAAATGCTGAAATTCTGCATTGGTTGGATTGCATGAGGTTGGCTCAAAAGTGTTATGACCTCTTCCCTACACCCTCATAGCTGTAGATTCCAACGCTTTTAAAATGTCCTCTCTACTGCTTTTTTTCTGAATGTAGAAAAGATTCCGCTTTTTTTAGCCTTACTGTACAAAATTTTGCATAGCAGATTGGTCTTTGTAATGATTATATAATAATAGGGAAGCTAAGTTGGTACTGCCTCTGTTTTGTTTGATGGAAATGGATAAAATTGAACAGAAATCAATGACAAATAGTTAATTAACAAACCTCTTTAGCATTGGATCACGCATATGTTTTCAAATGAAGATGTGGGATTACTGTGAGTACTAACATTTTCTCAAGTATTATTGTTTTCATTTTAGCTTTTCTCTTTGGGGGTGTTATGTGGAATTGATTCTTTATGCGTGAAGGATCAGTTTTGAGAGAATGTTATAGGGATTTGTAGTTCCAAGAGGATGCGCGGAGGATGAACAGTGAAAAAGTCAGAAACAAACAAGTCAATGTTGGTTGGAAACTGGAAAGAATGGCTTATGAACACAGATGAAAGGTAAATTCAAACTGCAAATTTGAAACCTCTCCGCTTTTGACCTCTGTCGTCAATGCAAAATTCCATGTCATTTTCTGCTCTCTGTTGTAACCTAGGAACATGGTCGCCTCCTATTGTTTCTCTTTTATTTCTAAGCTATTCATTCATCTGGTTCCCTGAATAAAGAGAATTTTTTCTGATTGGTTGGTGTTGTGAAACACTTCTGTTTGATATGTTAGGGCCATAGAGCACAATAGTTTAAGTTATCATATATGCCTACGGACCTTCTTCTTTTTCCTCTTTTTGAACCGATTCCTCTCTACCTTTAGAATAGGGATGTCGAACAAATCCAACCTCCTTTAAAACTTTATCAGCTTTCCTCAAACTATTTTGTTTTTAGTTGGTTCGAATATGAACCAGTTGAATTCGTATAGATGAACTTATTGATCAACATACTACGAGAATAGTAAACACTACAAAGACCTCCTTGGTGGCTTATAATGAAAAGCAAAGAGACGAAGGAATACCATTTATTTGATGGGGCAACATCTCCTTGGGCTCCTATCCAATCAAGAAATAGGTATGATTGTTCATCTTGGATAATTCAAATCGAATCAATTGGATGTCTAACTCAAACTTATATGATATGATCGAACAAATCAATAGAGAAAACAATGATAAAAACATAAGGACGATCGAAGTAACTTTGCTTTTTCACTGTGCCTATCTTAATTTTAAAGAGTTTCTTCCCCTAAGTTGAATTATATAACTTGACATTGAATATAGAATTTGCACCAAAGGGTTGAAGTACGGTTAAGAACAGTTAAAAATGATATATATATCAGTTAAAAACAATTTATATGAAAATTTATCAACATAAATAAATGAAATAATTGTGTGTTTTAGTTTTATAATTTTTAGCTATCTTGAGCTTGATTAAAATGACATTTTACACCTGAACCCGAAGGAGTTCTTAAAATCAAACTTCCGCAATTATTAAATGAATGATTGAAAAAATAAATTAAACCTCTTTAACCCACACATTACTTAGCAAAGTCCATTTTGTTTTGTGCGATATACTCAAGTTTGTATTGCTAATCCTTGGTTTCTGGCTTAGTTGGGTCATTAAATGAAAAGGCTCGAATCTTGTGGTGTTCAAAAGCCTAGAAAATCCCGTAGGATGTGAGGGCAGCCCAAAATTCCCTACCGACATCCGAAACCTAAGTTCAATAATGAAAAAGGGTGTCTTTCCCAATGTGGGTGCTTTTCAAAATCTCTTCTTTTCTTTGTTAACCCAGATGCATGAAATGTGAGGAACAAATTGCAGCTGAACACACAAAACAAAAACCCTAGAATTTGGCGGTGCATGGGCTCTATTTGAAACAACTCTCAGTTCCTTCAAATCAATGCTTCAATATTATGCGTGCGTGCTCTAGCATGTGTTGTTGTGTTAACAAGTAAAGATAAAAAGAATATGTGACAAAAAGTTTGAATCTTTTTAACATACGTGCTGAGAAGTAATTGTAATATAACGAAGAAATGAGAGAAATTTTGTGGGTTGCACTTACACAGACACAAGGCAAGGCAAGGCAAGGCAAGGCAAGGACAAGGACAAATTTTCTTCTGGCAGAAGATCAGAGAGATGAAGAGAAGGGATAGTACTATCCTACGTCAAAGTTCAAGCCTAGCTTTATTGACCATTCTGGAGAGAGAAAGAGAAGAAAGAAGTGGCGGTGGTGGGGAGAGAGGGAGAGGAGGAAGGGGGTCTATAGGCACTGTTAGTTTGAGTGGGTGAGCAATAGAACAAATACCCTTCAACAACTTGGGTCAGTCTTGGATTTTGGTTTAATTTTTTGCCTTCTTCACAACTCACGAGAGAGAGAGACACACAGAAAGCGTTTCTCTCCTCTGCATCTTTATTATTCTCTTCAAATACAACACTCCACTCCACTCCACTCCACTCCACTCCACTCCACTATGTATTCGCCACCAGCGCCCTCTTCTTCTTTCAACCTCATTCTGTTCTTTACCCCATAATTAGGATGCGAACACACCCCATATTCAGCCCGATTTCTGTCATTTCCCTCCCCTCTCTCTTTGTTCCCAAGCCCGGAAAATGAAATAATGCCGAGAAGCTGGGATTTTCCTTCTCGTTTCGATCTGTTTTCTCTTTGTCGACTAATAAAAACAGGGGATTGGGACTCTATCCCCACCCCCCATGTCACTCCAACTGTTTCCAGAGCTATTCCGTTGCTTCATCTGTTTCCTTTTGATTCTTTGAATTGAGGGAACCCACACACAAACAAAGAATTTATTGACGCATTCGAGTTTCGTTCTAATTCTTATGATTTCATTGATTTCATTCATATTTTAGTTCCTTATTTTTTGTTTTTATCCGCTAAGTCCTAATACCAGACACGTTAAGGAATCACTGGGATTTCCATTCTTCCCTTGGAAATATTTACATGAATCAGTGAAGCAATGAGAGATGGAAATTCAAAGAAAAGCAAGGTCAGAACTATGCCCATAATATTTCTTTGACTTCTGTCTGTCTCTAGTGTTTGGGTTTAGTTTGAAATTATTGACCTTTTCCTTTTCTCTTCGTTATTCCACCGAAGCTTTCATGGACCAAGACATTATTCAGGAAGTGGCTGAATATCAAGGGTAAATCAGAAGATTTCGAGGCAGACGATAGTGTTTGCGGTGGGGAATCCTTCTTTTCTAAACAAAAATTGCTAATTTAGTTCTTGAAATTCCCCGAAGCTGATATTACTGGGCTTTTGATGCCTGTGGAGGACGAGCACTCTGGTTTTTTGGTGTCTGCTCAAGATCCATAAAAATAAAAATAAAAAATAAAAAAAACTCAGTTTCATTTCTCCCTTTCAATGAATCCTCTCGTCTTTTTGATGTTCAAACTGAGGTGATGATGAACGGTAAAGAAGCTTTAACAACTTTATGGTTATCTTTTTCAGGTGGTCATGAAAAATGGAGGAACAGCCATCCGGAGGAGGCATGCGCCACCAAGAAAAGTCGAACAGGTTCAGGATCAAGAGCTCCCACATCATTATTTGAAATAAAGTATACTTCTTTTTCTTTTTAATTTATGTGCTCTTTCTATATAAACTTCAGAGGGATCAAGCAGAAGGAGTTTTGAAGGAATCCTCCAACGTAGTTTTGAATTTGATGCTCCACAGACCAACCATACGAGCAATTACAGGTATGATCGATTTAGTTGTTTTTCCAGGCAGTGATTCTTTGGACCAAGACTTTCATTTTGTCTTTAACTCTCTCTCTCTCTCTCTCTCTCTCTCTCTCTTTGCCCCCTTCTTTTCTTCTCTTTCTGTTTATGTGGACAGAATATTTGTAGCAACTTGGAATGTTGCTGGAAAATCTCCTCCAAATCATTTGAGTCTGGATGATTGGCTTCCGAGCTCAACTCCTGCAGATGTATACGTTCTTGGGTGTGTTCTACTGCTCCGAACTGGAATCTTTTTCTCAGACTTAAAGATTGTGTAATTCTTTTAAATGATAGGGAAGTTTGTTTTTTCTTTTGGTTCCCAGTTTTCAGGAAATTGTTCCTCTAAATGCTGGCAATGTGTTGGGAACAGAAGACAACGGCCCAGCTAAAAAATGGCTTGCTCTTATTAGAAAGACTCTGAATACTCTTCCTGGCACTGGTGATGGTGCTCGTTATCACGCATCTTCCCCGCTCCATGATTTATTCACCAATATGGATGCCGATTTTGATGTATCAACAAAGCAGAAGGCTTTGCCGTTCTTCCATCGACCCTCATTTCAGTCCTCCAGTCATAGCATGAGAATGGACAATAACATTTCAACACAAAAAACCCAATTTGATCGACGATTTAGCGATTTTGATCAGGTTATGCTTGGGCATAGGCCAAGTGATTATGATCCACATTGCAGGTGGGGTTCATCTGATGAAGATATTGAACAGGGTGACTCTCCATTTGTCTCCCAATATTCTCCTATTTCCCACTGTGGTTCCTTCTCCATAGATGATAGGGATAGACAAGCTGGGTGCTCAAAGTATTGTTTAGTTGCCAGTAAACAAATGGTCGGTATATTTCTTACCGTGTGGGTGAAAAGCGATCTCAGGGACAACGCCCGAAACTTGAGAATTTCTTGTGTAGGGAGAGGATTGATGGGGTATCTTGGAAATAAGGTAAGACTAAGCTTTAATTTCTTTACTTTATTCAGATTTAAGAACCTCTTGTGAACTGACTGAAAGTGGGCCACTATTTATCTCTGGTGTTCTAGGGAGCAATCTCAATTAGCATGTCATTACATCAAACAAGCTTCTGCTTCATTTGTAGTCACTTATCCTCCGGGCAGAAGGAGGGCGATGAGCATAGGAGGAATGCTGACGTTATGGAGATACTGAAGAAAACTAGGTTCCCCAGAATTAGTGGCATGGAAGATGAGCTCTCCCCTCAAACAGTTCTTGAGCATGAGTAAGATTATCCTTCATTTGCTATCATATTTCGGTGATTTTAACCTTACAGAAATTCTGGTTTCTTGTTTCTCTCTACGACTGAATCAAACTTCAATGATCACTTTCTTGGTCTAGTCGGATTATCTGGCTGGGTGATTTGAATTATAGGATTGCCTTGTCTTATTTGTCTGCAAAAGCTCTTGTCGAGATGCATAACTGGAAAGCACTGCTGGAAAATGATCAGGCAAGTTCCATGTTAACTAGTATGGTGAATTAGCATATTTGTGTCCGTTTTGTTGAAGAATTTTGTAGCGTACGTTTATCTAACAACTTATGAAACTGAGAATACAATGGTTCATGTTATCAGCTGAGGATAGAACAAAGATGTGGACGCGTCTTTGAAGGATGGAAAGAAGGGAAAATCTGCTTCCCCCCGACCTACAAGTATTCCTATAACTCAGATAGATACTCGGGAGATGCTAGGTACCCAAAAGAGAAGCGTAGGACTCCTGCTTGGTAATTTCTCTCTTCCCTGTTGAGGAGAGCAATTGTTATGTGCTAACATTGTTAGCCTTTCATCAATTCCATGACTTATGAATGTGGATTTTTTAATTGAAGGTGCGATCGAATACTGTGGTACGGTAGGGGTCTGAATCAATTGTCTTATGTTCGTGGAGAGTCGAGATTCTCAGACCATAGACCAGTTTGCAGTGTGTTTTTGGCTGAGGTCGAGTCCCTAACTCCTA